TGTTATAGTTATATTCGTTTTATAATTGCTAATTACTTGTGCCAGCTATGGATAAGGATGAAGAAATTGACGATTATTCCGAACCTGACCCGCAAACCTGACCCGGTGGTGGGCTAGGTTGGAAATTTGAAAAAATATTTGATATTTATTCCGAACGTAACCCTATTCCTAACCTGACCCGACGTATCGTTCCTATCATTACCCGAATTGCGAAGTAGGTAGGTTTTCCTCTCCCCAGTGTATGAAAAGATTTGAAAAGCAGTAAATGATATAGCGCTCGGCGGCCGCTGCCGCGGCACCGCTCGCTACGCTCGCTCGCCTCGCGCCTTGTGAGGGTCGCAGTTCTTCTTCTTCAATTCGGGTAATGATAGGAACGATACGTCGGGTCAGGTTAGGAATAGGGTTACGTTCGGAATAAATATCAATTATTTTTTCAAATTCCTAACCTAACCCACCACCGGGTCAGGTTTGCGGGTCAGGTTCGGAATAATCCGACATTAATGCAAGGCGACGTTTTGAACAGGAATTTCGTCTATTTTACAATGCGAAACGCAAAAAACCAGAGTGGACGCGGCAGAGAATAAGTGAAGTAATTAATTACATAGAAGATAAACTTTAATATACTAAAATATGATGACAATATGACTTTTTTGAGAAAAATCCTAATATATTTAAAACACTGAACTTAATCTAGTAATATAAGTATATCACTAAACTTGGTCCGTTTTATAACTATATCCCTAGTGAGATAGTAATGAATCGCTTTCGTATAACTATGTCCCGGTATATGATTATATCCCTAGGGATATAACTATATAACGGCTACATTTATCTTACTGCGACATATATATAATTCTGCTGGACGTGTGTATGTCATTGAACTCCTCCTAAACGACTAGACCGATTTAAATGAATTTTACTGTATGCGTTTGAGTGGCGCCCTCGACGGTTTAGATTCACAAATCAGCCCGGCAGATGGCGCTGCAGTCGATATCTAGGTTAAGTATTTATCTATACTGTTAGACGTCGAAAATCAACTAAATGAACGTCACTAGTTTAATCTATGTTATCGACAGCACTAGCTGTCATATTGACGATGTCATCTGTCAAATGGGACAGATTAGAAAAGTTTCCCGCGCTAAGTGAAGTGACGCGCGAATCTGGTGGGAAGTTTGAAGAGCATTGCGCTGTGTTCTTAAAAAGAATCCGTTTATAATAAACTTTTCAGTATTTAAGTATTGAGTTTACTTAAAAATACCTAATATTGTATTATTATTATTATTATATTATATGCAGGACAACGTCTGTCGGCTCCGCTTGTAGTACATATATCTTATAAGGTATAGAGGTTTGTACTACAATTACAATTATTTTGTTTTTTGTTTGTTTGAACGCGCTAATCTCCGTAACTACAAGTCTGATTTGAATAATTATTTTTGTGTTGGATAGCGCATTTATCGAGGATGGCTATAGGCTATAAAACATCACGCTACGACTAATAGGAGCTGAGCAGAGCGTGTGTAACCGCGCGGAAGTAGCTAGTATTTAATAATATGAAACAAAGTTTACAAAGGTTTACTTCCGCACAATAAAATATACTTTTACATTTTCCTCGGGAAATAGATTAATCTAGTCTTTATGCTATAGCATATTTATTAATTATGTGCTACGCATTGCATTTTATAGCGTGATAAATCTTCGCATGGAACGATTTCCTTTTAATTATCATATTTATAGTATTATCTACGATCACCTGAGGTAATGAGTCAACCAAGGTTTACAATCATAAAAGTGATTAATATTTTAACTGGAACATGCCTAGTTATTCTTAAAGAATGTGTCATGTAATACTTTGACGTGTTTCTTTTAAATATGACGTGCCAAGACACACATCTAAGGTATGAAGCACACTCCAAAATTGTCTTACAGATTGCAAAAATAAAACATTTGTACTTATCAATTGAGAAATGTCCTCTGTAAGAGGTTACAGAGGACATTTCTCAACTCAACGAGTTAAAGTCTTCTAACTGAGGAGTTAGAAGACTTTAATAGCTGAAAGACCTAGACACCTGAGATACAGGCTCCGGCTTAGTTTAGGCTCCAGTTTCACCACAAAATAATATATACAAAAAATAATGAAGCCTCCAATTGAATTACCACTGTATGAATAGTGAAACTCCCGTTACTTATTGACATATATTCCGGTTCACTGTTTACCTAATTTAACTAATTCTACACCGCCATATCCTACAGATTAGACCAAACCCCTAACTCGACCACATGTCAGCCCACGTGCATCGTCTCATGTGCAAACGAAAACTTTAAACAAACAAACATCAAACTGACTTTTACTCAGCCAGGTCCTTCTAACATTATTATCTTCATCCCCTTTAATTGGACTGATTGAACATGATACACTTCTTAGAAACAAATTAAAAACACCAGCCTACGACGGAAATTCTCCATTAAAACTGTTTTATACTTTAAAGTCTTGAAATCCAGTCTAATTTGTGTTCTAAGATTCCTTTGATATTTGCAGTGTAAAATAATGACTTGTAATGACAAGATAGATATAGGAAATAGATATTAATAGCTGGCCCGGCAAACTTCGTACCGCCAAAAAATATATTTTTTAACCTTTTAAACCTTCCCTAAACTTCCACGAACATTTTAAAACCAAAATTAGCCAAATCGGTTCAACCGTTCTGGAGTTTAAGCGAGACTAACGAAGGGAAAGTAATTTTTATTTGCATAGATTATACTGAGGGCCTGTTATCACATATCATATGAAAAAAACGTAAAATTATAACATCCAGTAACGCAATATCCCTTATAATATACATAGGTAAAATTATAAGGACTTCAAAAATACCAAATATTGTTGAAATTCCTTAATCAATGTAGCATCTCTCTTATCATTTTCACAACAAGTGAATTCGTTGTTTACCACGTGACTTATCGAATACGATAAAATGTTCACACATTTGTTTTTTTCTTGTGCATTTAACGTTTATAAATAGTCAACTTGGTTGCAGCTGCACGCACCATTCTAGAGTTGGCTGCACAACGCTTACCGCTTCGATTGTCGCGCAATGCTGCTTGTAAGTATGAGTCCTCAGTGTGCCTCGAAACTAGTCGAGTTACCTCTATTTGCGTGAGTAACCCGTAAAAACTATTTAATTGTAGACATGCAAATCAAGTTTTCAAATCCCATAGTTTGAATAATCTAGTCTAAATGGCTCGCTAAACACATAGTGGAAACTATCGTTTTTTTCTTCTCCTCTTATAATATTATCTTCTGATTGACCTGGGACGCACTAGAGTTCAATTTCGCGGTGTTTTCATCGTTATGTCCTAGCTTACAGGAGTTGCAGCGGTTATGGGAAGTTGCAGCGAGCTTCTCTCATTAAAAAATAGTAGTCACATAGTTGCAAGTGCTAGTTCTATGTATATATGCTCGGGTAGATAAATATAACTTCGAACGCTTCATCAGTATCGACTGTCGGCATCATAAAAATTTCTCCAATCAAGGTCTTTCGGGTTTCCAAATCGTAGTTTGTGCATGATATAAAATCTACTTAGGTATTGTTTATTATTAAACTTGTTAAGTTTCGAACCTGAGTCCTCACGATTAGCAATTGCACTTGCAACAGTTGCAACCACTTGATCACCGACGTCTGTAGTCAAAATCACCAAAGAATCGAACTAAGGACCAGCTTGTAGTCTATACAAGACAATCGATATCTTGTATTAGAACACCACCATAACATATTGTTCATCATATTAATTAATATTTATTATTCATTTATTAACAATTATTATAATGTGACATATAAGTATAGTGATTCTAACTATGCCTTTGTTTACTATAATGCACAATTACTTGCGCTTGCGCATACGCATGCACGCACACAGACATACACATAGTTTTTTCCTGAAACATGCGCCCGAGTGAATCGCCGTTCTTCCGGTCATGCGCAAAGAATATACAATTAGGGGGAAAATTGTGTCGTTACCGCTTCAGATTGTAGTGACACAAAATTTAAAATAAATGGAGACAGATTAAAAAGCGTATAAATATTATAGTAAATGTGTCATAATAAATACGTACGTTGTGGGTATTTTTCTAGAAACTATATACTGTATGTACATTTGCAGTAGGTATAATTTCTACGCATTAATCAATTATACAGACTATTTGTATGGCTATTTAAAAAATCTTTATTTCAATTTAGATTATAGTTACGCCAATAGAATTTGAAATCTACCTTAAAATTAGTAGGTATATTTTCCAATAACAGGATGTGGTCTGTTTTTAAAAACAAGCCCTAAAACCGATAGCACAAAATAACGTGACTTGTTCAGTAACAAGTACAGAGGGCCAAGCACGAATATCTATCGCTATCGCATTCGTATCGTAACAGTATCGAGCGAGTTAAGCCTTCTGATTGGTTGGTTCACTTGAGCCGGCCTATCAGAGCGCCGAACGCACTCGATACTATTACGTTACGATTTTACGAATGCAATAGTTATTCGTGCTTGGCACTCAACTCTTTGTCCCAAATCATTCTATGATACGTAATCGACTATGATTTAAATTTAGGAATTAAGATATAATCCATTTTCCTACTTTTATGTAGGTACATTGCATTCACAACACGTGAATCAAGATACCTACAACCTAATTTATGACTAACCATTTATATTTGACTTTGTAATACAGCTATGACAGGATTATTCAAAAATAAATAAATACCTATATATGTATGTTTCATTTAGGAATGTAATTTAAAAGTTGTAATTAGTTAGAAGTAGTTCAATGAATCGAGAAATGTTTTCTATAGTCCAATGTAATCAAGCAATTGTTCCGTTATCAGGGCTAATTAAAACAATGTTATCAGCACCAGAGTATCACAGTACGCGAACCAGTCAGCTGTCCCTTCTTTGTTCCTTGCTCTATGACCGGCGCCGGCGCATTTTATAAAGCAACAAAGGTCGAGCACAACAGCTCATCCGTTCAGTCCGGTCAGTCTGTTGCGGTCGTGCGAGTCGAACACACGTTAGCGCGCGATTTTATCACAAATAAATTAATTAAAAATGTTGTTCTTCGTACTATTAACAGTGTTTGCTGCCAGTGCTAACGCCAAGTTCGTCAGGGACTGTGGTAATTATTTATTTTCCTTATATTTTCTATGTAAAACTTGTTATTTCCTTGCGTTATCTGATACAGGCGTTTTACGCTTTATTAGTAAATTGCGTGTATTGTATGCGGCTGATTTAAGATGTTAGTGTAGCGAAATATGTTGTAATGTTATCGGGGTATTACTTATTGCATTTATTTTGGAAAATATCAAAAATGTTCATAATGAGGTAATGTGTCTTAATCTACGTTTACACATAACTATTATTATTGTCATCCCCTTCAATCGTTCTACAAATATTGCTCCTCATTGTAGGTATGTATCACGCTGGAGTCCTGATAAAAAGCAGCATCTTGTCTTGTCCACCTTCCCAACTGATGACTGTAACATTTTATTATCTCACTACCCACACGAGTTTGCATTACTACTTGGATATTTCTAGCTGGCTGATGTTAAAAAACAATTTATTTTATGTATAAAAAACACAATAGGAATATGTCATGTAAATTGAATAAATAATAGTTTAATCATATGGCAATAGCACAAATTCATGGATATATATTATAACTAGCGTCTACCAGCGGCTTCGCCCACATTGCATTGGCATAAAAAGGGCCTATATGTCATTTCATTCCACTTATAATCTACCCCTAGCCATCAGACCACCACGGTTGGAGCCCAATAGGGCTGATGCCTATACGGAGCCGCGGAGAACCTAACGGGTTACCAGGGCTCCGGCTCGAAGTGCAGGAGTAGGAACGGGGTGGTTTTTAGTCAGTAAGAGTCTGACACTCCCTCCCGCCTCACCCAGGCGGTAGCAGTCATTCGTTGATCGTCACCCCTTAAAAAAGACCTTGTTCTAAATTTCATCTTGATCCCTTCAGCCGTTTTTACATGTAAGGGTCACAAACACACACACACACACACACATACACCCTCACAAATTTCGCATTTATAATATTAGTAGGATAGATAGAAGTAGGATTAGTAGAAGAATAAGATAAAACATTTATTTGACAGTAGGCATGCACACAGATACAAAAATGAAAAATGTTTTCAAGTCAAGCGCTTTTTATTAAGTCATTTTTCTTTAGTAAGATAACCATAACAGTAGAAGAGTTTTAGCTTTCAATAGAAGGGTTACAATTTACAAGACAATAGTCTGTTCCGAATCAGTCTTTATTTTCTTACTAACTACTTCCGCGCGGTTTCACACGCTCTGCTCAACTCCTATTGGTCGTAGCGGGATGTTTTATAGCCTATAGCCATCCTCAGAAAATGTGCTATCCAACACAAAAAGAATTATTCAAATCAGACTTGTAATTCCGGAGATTAGGGCGTTCAAACAAAAAAACAAACTCTTCCGCTTTATATAATAGTAGTATATAATATATTATTTAGCTAAATCGCATGCCTACATAGTCGTACTTCATACTATTATTATGAAAGTTTGTCTGTTTGTGTGTATGTTTGTTACTCAATCACGTCAAAACAGCTGAAGGGACCAGGTTCAAATTTAGAACAGAGATAGATATGGTCAGAAATCACATATATAGGCTACTGTTTATCCCATGGCAATGCAGGCGAAGCTGCGAGCAGAAGCTACATATCAATAAATAAATACACAACCTTAATATCTCAGACTATAATAACAACATTTAATAAACTGTTTTGTCATGAAACGGACCTAACTACAAAGCAGGTACAATCAGCTACACATAATACATAACCAATATAAATTGATCTTTGAATTTATACAAAGATCACACAAAGCCAGACCATGATAAATTGGTCTGTATACTGTATAGCTATATATGGACCAAGATGTCATTATTATGTAAACATAATTACTACAATAGGATTTAATGTGTAGTCATCACAAATAGCAACATAAATACACACAGCATCCGTATCTATGTGTAATAACATAATATTATTATAAACATTTATAATTACATGCATCATTACGCTACTCATATGAGGGGCTAAGCTGTTTAGCTTATAGTCATAACATCACGCCTTTTTCCTCGAAAGGCAGAGGTGCACATTACAGCACTTAATGCCACTGTATAATGGAACACACACTTTTCACTATTTAATATTTATGTTATGAGTCCCATGTAATAGGGGGTGAGCCTATTGCCATATACCGGACACAATTCCAGACTCCGTGCTAAACTACTGAGAATTTAAAGAAAAAACTCAGTAATGCTTTGCGCGACCCGGGAATCGAACCCAAGACCCCTAGTCGCACTTGCAACCATTTAGTCAACGAGGTAGGCTTATATTTACTGTTTCGATCAATATTAATATGCTATGTATGTCTCCAGTCCAGTCCAGCCCAATGAAAGTGTTACTACACTTAGGACTAGAGAATCGAAGCCATCGGTCCTTTTTTATTTTATTTAACTCTGTATATCTTTAAAAAATCTAACTATTATTTATTTATTTATTTATTTAGTTTTTAATGTAAATAATTTGAAGATAAGACTATTCATCCCGATTAAATGCTCCCATGAGATAAAACAGGAATCATATTCTACGAGAACAAAGTCGCGGGCAACAGTTAGTTTGTCATAAAATAAATTAAAAAATACTCCATAAAGTGGGTAGATAGAAAATTTAATGTAATATAATGTCATGGTTTACAAAAACAAACATAATGTCCAGATAACCTTTAGATACGACCACCTACGAATTAATAAATAAATACGCAATTTTTATGTCCGTTGTACGTCACGTGGCACGACCTACATAAGTATTATAATTTGACATTAGTAAATAATCATGTTTCACACAGTACATACAATAAATATTATTAATGGTTTCTTATCAGGGAGTAGCAGTTCATTGTTCTTAAATCAGCAAAGTTATCATCTCTGAACCATTTTCATTTGAAGATCATGCATAATATGTAATCGTTGATGCAAGCCAGGTACACACACTGCTGAGTTCAGGTCTCCAATCTTTTTACCACTAGCTTCTGCCAATGTTCACCTTCAGCCAGCCTGCCAGCTTCACCTGCGTTACCATTGGATAAATGAATAAATATCCAACCACTGTGTTATTCAAGACCATAATCTAGCACAGTTTCAAATTTCACCTCGATCCCTTCAGCCGTATTGATATTATTGAGTAATAAACATCCACACAAACATGCACAGAATTTCGAATTTTTAATATTTTTAATGTTTCTTTTGAACGTAAGTACATTCTTACTACCCAACCCATTTTGGACGACTACAATTTTACTAATTCTCGCCCACCATACGGTTAAAGTCTTCTAGCCAGATATCCTGCCAAAATTGACTTGAGGCGTATGACCCTCTCCTCGCTTACCTAAGGACAGAGATACCTGATGCCCACATCCAATTTCACCATCATCAACAACCGAAAAGTTGGAATAAGCCGCTGATTATCCGTTTATTCTAAGTGGGGTTCAAACCCGCTGGCAGCCAACCACCGCATCGACTATACCGTCACATTTTTCCACATATTTCATAATTTTCACGCCTGTGTCACGGCTGACGGTATCAATTTCCATAGAAATAACGCTTTGATTGAAAATTCTTGAAATAATAGGTACAGGTACAGTAAATTTGCACCGGTACACAGCTTAGGACTGTACACGACACATAATTTCAGAATGTTTCATGGAGTGCTAGCTGTCACCTACAGGTTCCTCTTCGGCTACGTAATCAAGGGAGAAAAACTATTACTCTCCAACCTCCTAAAGGACTAGGTACGACGTGTCGAGATAAGGAGACTTAACGTGTTGCCGGGGCTCCGGCTCGAAGTGCAGGAGTAGGAACGGAGTGGTTTTAAGTCAGTAAGAGTCTAACACTCGCTCTCGCCCCACCCGGGCGGGAGAAGTCATTGGATGATTTCCCCCGTCAAAAAAAGCTAAAGAACTATCTTCAGTGCAGAAGAAAAAAATGAAATAACAAACTAAACTTATATTTATCCCATAACTTACATTAAATGTTAAGAAAACTGGTTAGTGTTTCTAGTCTGTCTAGACAAAGTTTGTCCTATCCTACATGTAGGTATAACTACATAAACTTTGTACATCACTTATTGTTTACGCTCCAACGCCCATTCATACTTACCAACCACCTACCTTCTATTACGTAGTGTCTTGTTCATTGCAACATTTCATTAGAATTTCACTCCCAACTTCACCCGAATTATCAATTCCTGATTTTTTTTTCTTGATTGGCGACTGTTGTCGACTATACTGCCAGTGTCGAGTAGTCAGTACTGTATTTGTTCATCTTCCGATATCCATATATTATGTCAATTTCTAACGTTTAAAGTAATTTGGTACTTTTGAAACGTCAACAAATACAAAATAAATCTGTCAGTCTGTCCGTCAGTGAAGCTAGGTGCTCATTCCAAAATGTAAATTCGAATGTAGAAGAATGAATAAGAAACTCCATTCATTACTCTTTTGCATGCCTAATGCCATACTAAATTAAAGCCATTAATCAATACACTCGGCTATAGTTATTTCAATTTGTGTCTGCCATGGATATATAAGTTTCATATTTAAACTGTCAAACACCAAGCGGTCACCGGTGACCGCAACCTATTGTTCTATAATTGTGTCTATAATGACGGTACTTGACGAGTTAAGTGCCCAACAACCTTTCATCGATAAACGTTCAGTAATTTGTACATGAAAGTACAAAACAGGAACTCTCACATTAAAACTACGTTCATCTAGATCTTGATAAGTTTTCGTGTTTATAAACTAGCAGTACCCATACGAAATGCTTAAACCATACATGTAGTGGATGTAGTAAAACAATACCTCGTTACCTTATACTTCATGAAAGTGAGTAGGTAATATTTCATTGAATTGACGGAATCAATCACTTACGTTAACGCACACAGATGCAACTACACGTAAGACAAGTTGATCGGCGATGTCTATGTATGATATGATATTCACACTACACTACACATGATTGTATGTATTCTAGTCTCTACAACAGCCATTCTCAAACTTTTTTTCATCATCAACATCAGGCCGATCACACACATCGATCACGGTCCGCCATGTCATGGGGTCTCGGGCCGCGATCGAGAAATTAGTAGGTCATAAATAAAACGTAAATCCAAAGGCAACGATGTATTTTCTTTATAAATAAGACGACAAGAAATTACTATAATAGCTAAATTGTTTTCTTTTAGCTTCGAACACCGAACTATTCGAAATTTAAAATATGTAGAACGAAGCTTACAAACTTCAAGTGGGCCAAACAAAAAGGCCCGGCCTCAGGTTGAGTATGAGGTCTAGAGATTTATCTAAGTAGGTACTGTATTTATTACCGGAACGTATAGTTCCTATGTCATTCAATGACTCCTATACAAATAAAGAAAAATTTAAATCAGTAATTTAATGAATACCTAATGATCTAGAAAATCTACATCATCAGTTACATGACACACAAGAGCTTTCACTCTGAAATCTAAAGTACCTATCATTAGATCTAAATACAACTAGGTAGGCCATTTGCAAATAACCTAAGCCACAATTTGAAATAACAATACAACAAAATGTAACATTTATCCTATTTACTAAACACTGCTTAACCTCGCAATTACAATGAAAACACAAAATCATGATATAAAATAATAATAACTACATTATGACAAACAGGCCATTAGCTTTTTTGCGGACAAATATAATAATATCGTAAAGGCTTATCATAATGTTTGTTTAATAGTAGCTGCGAATTTAAACGGCTATCCGACTATTGGTTGGTTGGATCATAATGACGAGTGGTTATGATAGCATCATAGTGACACACTTGCTGACTAATTGTAACGTGTCATAGCTAAATAAACTTACCATAGACATATACTGGCACTAGCTTTTGCCCACTGTTTCGGCCGCGTTTCTGTAGTAAAGAAAATAGTCTGTGTTATTCCAGGCTATAATTTTTCCCTGTTACTAACACCCCAATCGGAAGCCTTCAGTCGTTTTGACATGATTGAGTAACAAACATTTTGCTTTTATAATAATTAATATTCTTAAGATGATATAGAAAGAAAAGAAAGAAAAAACATTTATTCAGCACCAGCCACGATGCAGCGTAAATAAAATATAAAAAGACAATAAAGGTGTGATAGTGGAAGTAATAAAAACATTAACTTAACAAATTAAAACAGAAGAATTAGAAGAGAGACGCTGACAACATGCCTATGCTAAAAGGGTCACTCATTCAGTGTAAGTCAGACATACATGTCACCCAGCACTGATTTTCAGTGGGCTCCCCTTGAATACTGGCAGACGCCAGTAATATTAAGAATGAATGAAGTAATTCTCACTTCCGAAGATTCTATCACTCAATTCGAATCAACACAATGTTTATAATAGATAAAAATTAAATCCCTAAAACTTTTTTCTCATTCCTTGCTATCTTGAGCTTTTGCAAATTAGGTATCTGAAAATCTCACGGCAGATTTTTTAACAATCATCTCGCCTATTAAATGTTTAAGCGAAAACACGAAAGATTTATTATATCTAAACCGAAACAGTGGACATGTCGCTGTCTTTCTTAATTTTCCTAAGAGATGCGACGCTACCTCAGCGCCAGTTTTCCTCACAAAACCTTATTAACTCTAATTTACTCCAATTACCTGCGCGACGTCAAACAGCTGCTATTTCTGGAAAATTTTAAGTACGTGAATGGATGCTACTTATTCTATTATTGTTGCCCTAACTTAGACTTAAACCTACTTACCTACCGATATCACTAGGTTATCTGGAACATTCTGAATCTATTTATCACGAACCTCTACATTTCACAAGGGAAATTACCCATAATTTGTCCTAAGATACGTATTACAAAAATGTTATCATTAATTAATAGTACAAAATTTCACTGCTACAAGAAATAAGTAAGCACAGTACATACCTAGATACACATACCTAATTATCTAGACAATGTCAATGTGTATTTATTTATGTTAAATAAAAAACTGTGTTATCGAAAAATGTAGCTGCTTATTTACAACATCTAAAACTATGTAAGTAAAAAAATACATTACAAATACATAGTTACGAACGTCCTAGACATACCTTCACCGTGTTCTACAATTTCTAATAGAATTTGTAGTTATGAATTTCACTCGGTATACAAAATAATAACGTTTTGTTACGCAGATCTCCTAATTGAAAAGCACAATTAATGAGTAACACGCGATATAAAATGATTTAATTAAATCACATTACATAGGAGAGTATCGTATTTTACAATTATGGCGAACTAGCTTCTGACAGCGGTTTCGCCCGCGTTCCCGGGGGTAAAAAGTAGCCTATGAATACATAGACCATAAGATTATGGTCCCTACAGTCGTTTTGATATGACTATAAAACAAACATTCATACAAACTCACATATTTCAAGCTAATATTGGTTCAAGCTGATGGTAGTATCGGTACCCAGTGTTATGACCAGGACATTAAAAGTATAATCATAAATCATACCAAGTTTCATCGTAATCAGATCAGTAGTTTTTGCGTGATGCGTGAACATACTGATAGACAGACAGACAAACATTTTTTAATCACATTTTTGGGTTCGGTGTCTATCTAGTAACACCCCTACTATTTGCATTTTTAAATATTTTTAATGTACAGAATTTACACTTTAGGTACAGTTTTATTATATGTAGGTATAGATTATTTGGTTTCATATTAGAATTATTATAAGTACTTCAGAAGATATTATTCAGTCTATTTATATTACATAAGAAGTCCTCAAATGCAGAGATTATCAATCCCTCGTATGTAAAAAACCATCATCTAAGGGTTAATTATATAATGTTTCTTAGTTTTAATGAAACACATTTACCTTCTTAAATTAAGACCAGTGTTTACTTTGTTCAGGTTCAGCACAGGCGTCGGTACAGGACGTGCAGGTGACCGGCTGCTCGGAAGCCGCCAAAGAATGCATACTCAAGAGGAACACCAACGCCACCTTCAGTATAGAGTTCACACCAAGTAAGTATCTGACAAATTGACAAGTACCTCACACAGTGTCGTAACTATGTTTTGGAGCTTTGTGGTAAAATCATCAGATGACCTACCCTCAATAAATAAAAGAGAAACTCAGATGAGTACCTCTGAAATACTCTGAATGACGGCCCCTTCCGACTGGCGGCCCATGACATTTTGCCAAAACTTTGGTATTGTGTCATCATAAAATTGCTCATAGTTATATTTGCCTAAAATTGGATTTTACTTAATTAGTTGTGGTTAATTTAATGCAAATATTGATGAAGAACTATTGTTTATGCGGTAAACTATTAAGGACTACATATTTATTTCCTGTTTTTCATTAAGTGTTACAAGTAGGCACTTATATGTAACACAATAAGTTTCTATTATAGAAACTAAACATTATTTTGTATTTAATATTAAAATTGGGGTAAATAGTGAGTCATGGGGAAATTAGGGATAAACGAAACAATGTATTTACTCTTCCTTATTAGTTACACACGGTGGACTACTAAACAAAGAATCTGGGTTCGATCATAGAATTGAGTAGTAGATACTTTTGTGAATCGTAATTAATTTGGTTTTTAAATGGAGCCTATTAAACAAGCGTGTCCTAAGAGACACATAGTGTAGTGTGGGCTTGCAGAATGCTCTTGGGACTCACTAATGGTCCGCCCATAAACCTTATGGCACTCTAATTTTACTTAATCACTATAAACTTACCCAAAAATAGAGTTTCCAAGTACTTAAGTATTGTTGGTGTGAAAAACAAACAGTAGTAAGCCCCTCCCCCCTTCGTGATATGGCATCACGTCCGTATTCCTCTAAGGGAGAACTTACCTAAGTAAAAGGGGTATGTACGGGTGTACATACCCCTTTTACTTAGGTAAGTTCTCCCTGTTACTATATCAAAATGGTAACGAGTACCCACTCGTTACCATTTTGATATAGTCCCTTGCGACAAGCAATAACTGTTACCGGTGGGCACTATATTCTAGACACCTTGAAAGCAGTGAGGTACTAAATCAAATGGAAAACCCTTGTTTAACTCAAGTTGGCATAAACATAAATAGTGTAGGTAAAGCTACCAGAAAAACAAATTGACTCAAATGACCGGTAGGTTTTGTCTTTGCATTTGACTAATGGGTCAGGTAGGTCTAGGTCAGTAGGGTTGTCCGAACCGGAGCTGCGGACAATTGAACGGGTTACCGGGGCTACGGCTCGAATTAGCAGCAGGAACGAGGTAGTTTTTACTAAAAACTACCCCTCTCCCAAGACTCTTACTGACTAAAATCTTTTTAGTCACTAAAAGTCTGACACTACCTCCCGCCTCACTTCTGGCGGGAGCGAGCATTGGATGATTTTAACCAACTTAGTTAGGGTTTCTATAATACTATCGTGACTACTATAATGTGGATTTAATTTAATAACAAAATAGTCTAATGGTTTGGATTGTACATGTACATGTAATTATACAACTTTAATCTTTGTTATTTCCAGTGGCTAGTGTAAAAGAGGTTCAGGCAATAGTTCACGGAGTGATCATGAACCTCCCAGTACCGTTCCCTCTACCCCAACCTGACGCGTGCAAGGACAACGGACTCACCTGCCCTCTACCGGTAAGCCTTGCGCATATTATTTCTTGTAAGTCAGCTATTAAAATACCTGTGATAATTTAAAGAAACTCGAATAGATTTAGTGGTGAAACGATTAATTTATTATCTGAGGAATCATCTATTTTGGATTAAGTTATCCTTTATTTGATTTTATAATTATAAAGCCGTTATTTCTAAGATTTTTAAATATTAATTGTTATTTTCGCAGGCTGGTAAACCAGTGAAATACCAGACTACGATGCCTATCCTCAAGTCATACCCCAAGGTCAAGGTCGATGTGAAATGGGAGCTTAAAGACGAAAACAGTGAAGATCTCGTATGCGTCATGATTGCTGCAAGGTTACAATAATGAACAAACCAAATAAATAGCTGCATCCCGATTCCAGAAAAAGAAACAAAATGCGCCTTAGAATCTGTATTTTTGTGTCAAATCTAATGCAACTATCTCAGCTGAGCTGATCGATTTTGTGATTTGACCAATTACAGAAAAAAAGAAAATGTAAGATATCTGTCAAAATTAAAATAAAATGGCGGAAAATTATTATTTGTCACAGCTGCTGATACAAGTGTCGTTGAAGGAATCGAGTATGTGCGTAAATACTTAATTTCAATTTACCTATTTATGCATTCCACAAAAAAAAATATAAATTTTATTAATTTTCGAATAAGCTAATCTATTATCAAATTATTCGAATTTGATCAAGCCTATTTTATTACATCAATTAAATATTATTTGCTAAATAGATTATCTACCAACTGTATTTACTTATGTATAGCTCCAATGAATATTTAAGTACCTTTTTTTCTACTATATGAAAGTGAGGCTAATTGCTAAAGGCTGCGTTGATTGACAAATATTTTTATTTAGGTAAGTTTAAGTAGTATAAAATTTCGCTCTCTTCAAAAATTTCAATGAACGTTTTACAAAATATCAAATATATATAAAATTATGTGACAAGTGTTTAACTACGAGGATATTGTTGCTTCGTCACAAGCAGAGGCTTGTAGAAAACTGGTAAAAAGCTCGAGTTCTGTTCTGTCTACTGAATGTAAGAAACTACCTTAATTTATAATGAAAATGTTTTACATTAAACATAGGTTTAGGATTGTGGTTTTGTACATTATAATAATTATTAATTAGCGTGCGTGTTTTATTACAAACTCCTTAACCGCTTGAATGCCTGTAGAAATGTGAGACACAATAGAAAATGCATTGTCTCGCGTGGATCCACGTTTATACACACGACAGGTTAATGAAGACTTGCTTTTACTCTAGATATCACAAATGCAGTGTCATCCAATTAGGTCCTTTTCATTTTCAGTTTTCAGTGTAAATATAAACGAGCGCACGGATTACCTGATGGTAAGCAACTATCGACGCCGCCTATGGACACCCAAAACACCAAACGCGTTACAAGTGCGTTACCGGCCTTCTGGGGATTGAGAATTGAAGGACTGTTGGGGACTCGAGGATTAGGGAGATTGGGAAGGCAGGAGAGAGGAGGGTACGGATAGTTGGGCCCTCGGTAACCTCACTTACACGACGGTTTTATTTGATGCCGTGGTATCACTCCGGTCGAACCGACACATTCGAAGCATGGCTCTCTCACGCATTATGTAAAGGCTGGAATTTTAATAATAGGTAATTTATTTTATGGTAACCTTATACAAGGCCCATGTCAAAAAAAGAAGGAAAATTAAAAGAGAAAACTAGCAAAAATTCGTTAGAGATGTTTACTACCTATTATACATTATTCTATAGTTTATTACAAAAGAGAACTATCCATGAAATAAAAAGAAAACCATAAACGTACTTCTTAACAACCTTTATTATTACTTACAATTACAAAAATACATTTTTCTGTGTAGGTAGTACACATAGTACAGTAAGTAGGTACTAAACGTTGATAAAATCAGTCGAATTTTTGACTACCAACTAAAAACTAAACTGACTAAAACGGTTCCTACCATTTTCTTCGTTGATCGGCCGGTTGACTTTAGAATAGGGATGATGACAGTCAGTTAAGTAATTAAAAATATTAGACACGTATTTTGTTGTATAATAAAATGATACTTAGATATAACGAATCAAAGTCTAAGAGTGGGGGCTTAAACGTCATTTCTACGTTTAAAATGTACATAGATGTGACGTCACGCGACATTTCAAATTAATATATCGTCAAAAGTATTATTTTCTGTAAAAAATAAAAAAATACGTGTGTAAAATTTTAAAATAATCTACCAGACGGACATTAAAATAAAAATTAGTCAACTACCCTATTCCAGAAAAGGGCCAATAAAATATCTCCTTTGACAGATTGTAGTAGGTTTATCTGCGGGCCATTGTACAGAGATACAGAAGGCATTGAAAGCCAGAGATTGTACGCAAGTTGAATCCGAAATCCGAAACCCCTTACGACCGCCAGTCATCGACCCACACGTATTGAAACAACATGTCCTACTAATTGCGTCATTATGACACTAAAATGTCACATTTATTTAAATATAATTGATCGTTAAAATGATTTATTGATTGAAGTACTTTTCGATTCGATATTAATTTGGCAAGTGACGAAAATTATTTCAATTGAGATCTGCGATGAGTTATGGTATGGAATGCGTAAAAGGAAGGTTTAAACTTTTGAAGCCCTATAAAGGGGTAGGCTGTGTGTCCTTGGTGTACAGCTGTACACGTACTTTTGGTCAGTCGCATTTATCATGCTGTATATGATAAAGAGCAAATGTAGTTAAGGCTTTGACTGCCAATACTGTTGAAGACAAATCCTCCGCTAACGTCGGAAACTTTTTTTCTTCTCTCCGTCTTTTCGTATTTCAATCAGGAACTGGTTCAAGGAGAAACAATCAGAAAACGAATCAGCTTCCGTCTATTTTGCAAGTGCCAATCTCACATTTTCCAAGTTTTCTGTCGTGTTTGTGAATGTAGTTTCTCATAATTATACAGCTTCCGATTTCATACGTAGCATGAGCTAGGCAAGGTAGAATCAGATCGTATCACGTCTGGTTGGTTACCTGAGCTCCCATGCTCAGTAACCTTCGTGCGTGAATATATCACAGATAGCATCATTCAATTCCTTTTCAAGAGACGCATTGCAGTTCCCTCATTTCTTCTTGATAGTACTTTTACATCGGCCACACAAAGCCTGTTCAGTCTTAACTTTCCTAAAATGTAAGTTATATTCCTGTCTGAATATCTTTCTGTACATGGATTCTTTCACAGGCACTATGTTCTCCTTGTTGCAATCGCTGAAATACATGTTGTACATGTGTTTTATACTCAAACTTGCATCAAGGTACTGTTTCTTCTTTGAAAATTGCACCACAGGCTTTGACTCCATGGTTGTAAATGATTGTATGTGTTTCCTCACTCTGTCTTTAATTTCTGATGGCAGTGAATGACAGCTGGCCTTAGAGTGCCCTCTACCATCTGGTTTCGGTATGTTTAAATCCGTTTTTCCCATATGAACATTATAAACTGGCTTCTGAGATATAGATAGGGTACCCAAATAGAAGTTCTTACACACTGTATGTCTCTCGGACTTCACATTAAAGAAATATTTAAATGTATACTTTCTCTTATTGTTGGTGATTACTTTGTTATTTTTAATGCATGTCCTTTCAGTTGTGTGTAACAGAAAATACTTCTTTTCATTAGCATTCAGTGTGTAAAATGCTTTGAAAATATGTTCTCTGTCATTATCTGATATTTTCTCATTACATTTAAACTTGCAGTTTTTAACACAGTCCTTAGTGTTTCGTATGTGTCTCTCTGGCACAAACTTGCCTCGCCTATTGATGTAGGCCTCTCCGCGTTGGTGTTTTGTCTTCCTTATGTTGCATGCCCAGGATGTCGGATCAGGAATTTGACTTCGAGACCTTTTCTTAGGTGTTTCAGGTACCATTTGAGTTGTGTCGGTATCACATCTGTAAAATCAAAGCAATTGCAATTAAACATATGCTACAGTTAAATACTATTTTTTTTATTTATTTTTTTTACATCTGCAACTTATTTTAAGCAATAAAACAAAACCAATACTTAAAAAAATTCTAATTGGAAGTTCAATTTATGAATCATACCTATATTTATATTTATTCAAACAAAATTTAGGAAAAAGAACTTACTCAACATCCTTATCTGCTATCTGCATATCAGGCTCAAGTTTAGTAAGTAGACACTCCTTAGGATACTCATACTGCCGGTAATATGAGTGTACTCCAGCCAGCATGTGCTGCGGTACAATCATGTGGGATGCAATTTGAAGAGACTGGGACATGTCTGAAGTCTGTACAACTTGGGACTGTCCGTGCAGGACTTGAGACTGTCCTGGTAGAGGTGGTAGACTCTGCAGTCCTTGTTGACATGACATCACTATCTGATTCTGTGACATTTGCATCTGACTTTGTATCTCGGTGACATGTTGAGATGTTACTGGTATGTGAATGGATTCTGATGTGATTGTTTGCTGGTATGTAACCTTCCCTTGAGATGTGGGTAGTGTTGAGTGAGATATATGTATGATCTGAGGGTTCTGCATTTTGCTGTTGGTAACTGAGGGCTGATAGACTTGTACCAGGTGCGGTATGGAAGGTGGTTGTAGCTGCTCCATCTTGTTAACTGAAATGTATAGTAGGTACAAATTAATAACTAATAAGTCCATGGCTTTTGGTGATGTAGTTTTACAAGTATTTTAATAATTTAATGGTTAATTCATTATTATGTTTTATTTAACAAGTACAAAGATACATGCTTTACAGTACATATAATAAAACTTAACTAAATATCCAGAAAGTGCTAAAGAAAACTGATTTTTAAATTGATATGTTTATAAATATAAATATTTCACTGCTGTTAAATTAAAATACCAAACTACTTACTCGTTCCGTGCGAAACAAACACACGCTCACAACAAAAGTAAAACAAACAAATAAATAATGGCAAATTTAGAAAACTTTTGTTGATTTTTCAATACATATTTACAATAGTTGTAAAGTTTTCAGTGAGTGTGGCATAGTTCCATCCTATTGGAAAAGTAAACACAACATGGATGAATTCATTGACCTGCGATACAACAAGGGTCGAACTCGAAACGTTTTGCATTTGACAGCTGCTATCTCGTTCTTTCTTCAATAGAGTAACAAGGGTAAAACATCAAAAACGCTAAGATTTTGATTATTTTATAAGTGGAACGAAAAAATCTTTCGTTGTGGCCTAGTGATGTCCACCCAAGAAATAAACCGTAAAATTTATTACGGTTTTTATCATACAAAATATTTTTTCTTTTAAGATTCACAAATTACACATATCTCTCGATTTTCTGGCTAAATTACGAGGGTAAAATTAATTGATATTTTTTACGTGAGTAAGATTTCCATGATCTGTTTATTCTTAAGGTAATTAGGCGTACGTTGCATAAACTCGCGAATCGTGCAAATGAGGTCACATCAGTCAAATAAATTACTTATAAGTACTTTAAATATTCATCTATAGTATGGCTTACGGGTAGGACACGTGCTTTTGAAACAAAATCTTATTACTCCACGACATTTGTGACTCAATCGAAACGGGAAGGACCATTTTTATATAACTACCTACATAAAATCCAACTCTAAATACGACTGTGATCATCAATTCATCACACACACACACACACACACACACATCCACGTCCAATTAAATAAATGAAAATCGTACCTCGATTTCAATATCGCGTTCGTTAAAGAATGTGGTCGACATTTTCAATACACAACAAAATCATGAGTTAATTAATAACCAGTTACATAAAATTTTCTATCTCAAAAGGCATAACGAAGTATGAGCGGAACAACAACAATTCAATTTAATTTCAAGTAGTACGAATACATATTTGCTTTGTAATAATTATCAACACAATAAATAATAATAATGGATGAGGATCCCCTAAATATTTCTGTGTTGCCGTAGTTCTATTTACGGTTATAGTTTTTAGAAATATGTAAATAATTGTAATTTTTACATAATTCGGAACTGTCGACTACAAAGTATCGATATTTGAAGAGTTTTATGCAATAAAATACACATCTTATTGTTAACAGAATTTATTACAATTTTATATAATTTATTTATATAATTATAAAAATTTATATAATTTACAAAGAAAATAGTTTAACAAAATGGTCTAACAAGTAAGAATAAAATATTACGAAAATACACGCACTATCCTCATTTATCGACTATTAAGCATTTATTTAAATATCTCATGATGCTACCTTTCGACTTCATTATGTACTTAAATCAGTGGCAAAAAGTCATTTGTGCCAAATTTCCTTTATTTTAAATATTTAATTATAAATGCATCAAAATGCTTTGTTAACAAAATAGGTATTTCGGTATTTAGACGTGTTTATACAATCAATAACAATATTATTTTATACATTTGCTTTGGTTTTATCCTAGTATGTAACTTAAATCATAGTTTGTTATCTTGCATTTGTAAAATATTGCACATAATAATTCCTCATTTTACTGAAGTTCAAGGATGGAGTTCAAGGGTTTCCAAAAATAGTCCAAGATATAATTTTTGTGAAAACTGGTGCTTCAATTTGACTACATCCAGCTAATTTCAGGTTTATGATGCATAAATTGGAGTAGTGGTGGACTGACATCATATATACTGAGTGTAGTCGTACTAAAGTTAAAATGCGTCATATTTTTTAACCATTATCAGCCAAAACGTATGTTATACTTATTATTATATTAGCACCTATTCTTAATTCTAGTTCTACTATTGTCTGATGAAGCTAGAACTCGTTATAATATATTTGTGCTTTCATAAAGTTTACTTTTACTTGCATCTAATGCCTATATCGATTTTTAACTTTCTATAAAAACCCTCTCAATTAAAAGAGAAAAATATACTTGTCTTATAAAAATAAAATCCAAGATCGTAAAATAAAAACAAAATACATACAACAGTAAAGATAAAAACATGTTTTAAAATAAGATAACATATCAAAATAAAATATATATGACTACAGATCGCATGTAAACATGTATGATTTTGGAATTACATAATTGTATAGAATAAATACCTACGTTTGCTCTGCGAGCGGTAGAAATCTTATCGAGCCAGTTACACTATATGTGATTATTTGTTCTACGTAACATCAAGTTACTATTTGTACTTATTATCTCTACAGAAATTTTGTCTCTAAGAAATGGTATACTTTTTCATATACAACCAACATTATGGCTCCTCCAGGACCCAGTCTCATGACCTTCGGTACTAGACCTTTGTATAATGCGCGGAATCTGAAAACAAAACATGACATTTTGAAAATTATTATAATAAAGATAGTACTCAAGCAGTTATCAAAATTTATTTAAGTATTCATATATATGATATTTAGTAGATACCTAGAAATGTGCCTAGAAAATGAAATTTGCTTTTGATCCCATTTATGTTGTTATTTATTTATTTTTTTGTTTTTGGGTTCTATAGCTTTGATACTGTAATTTGTATTTGTATTTTTATTTAAATCGACTAAGCATCACATATGTAGAGAGCTATCACATGATAATAAGCTATCAATCTTAGTATCTCATTTTAAAGATACGTATGCACTTATGTTCGAATGGCAGTTGCACAAATAAGACCTAAAGATATGACAAGAAAATTATAGGGTACCTATATCAGAAGGGTACAGCAGAGTAGAATACCTACAATTGTCACAAAGCTTATTATACCAAGCACCCGGGTGTCTGAAGACCCCAAACAGTTACAATAGCGAGAGCAGCTCTCTGATAAAACTGATCATTTTAAGCTGTGATCTCCAACTCGCCTGGCAAAGATAGAGATTATGGGATACTGTCTAATATAGAGAAGACCCATAATTGACTAATGAACTGTCAAAAACTGTTGATGAAGTTGATCTACAATAATTAGTCTACGAATTGATTCAACATTGGTAAATGTGCTAGTCTAGTTGCAGATAAATTCTACTTACTTACGTAACTACTACTGCTCATTCATAATTTCTATTTATTAGCCAATCGACTGCTAAAATAAACGGCACGTGTTATGTGATAGTGCATTAACTATTCCTAACCCGTCAAATAGTTTTATCCAAAGCCCATGCTTTATCCCGGCCATTATCAGGTGACTGAATTATAGATTCAAGGTTGAAGTAAAATCTACGATTACTTCAATTATGATTAATTGAAAGTAAGGATTTGTTTCGCAATGTGTAATTTAATCTACTGAAATGCTGCTGGCGGACAGTTTTTTATGTATTTTCCTTATTAAACGAATTACCTTCCTATATCATGTTAATAAGGTAATAACCGCTTAATAAGACATTGTTTTACAGCAGACCGATAAATTGTATGTCTAATTCCACCAAATTGTAAAGGACTGCAACTTTACTGCATAATTCGGTACCAAAACTTTGGACTACAGCCAATTGGACATAAATTAAGATTACTCAGTAAACACGAATATATGCAGCTGGTGTTAAATGTGGCTTGTTAGTTCACTGCACTTACCTACATACAGCTAATGACATCCAAATGTCGTATTACAAAGTAAACAGGGAGCGCATTTGTTTAACTAACAATTACTGTATTTAACTCCGTATCTTATAGATTACTATTTATATTAAGTTATGCAATAAGTAATTAAATCGAGAGAAGGCCTTACATACAAATCGTAACATACAAACTAGAGATAAGTCGGTAGAGCAAGATAACCAAATTCTTTTACTGGGACTTGAGCGCTAGTTATTATTAAGTATAGTTATTTTCTTTAATTTCAGAGGCATGTCTACATACTTTCTGAGTAGCAGGGCCCCAAAAAACTGCCTAAGACTGCATTGGAGAAAGCATTGCATTGGCTAGCAAAATTTAAATTAGTTTTTTACTTTTAATTTTAACGACTTTTACTTTGATTACTCAAAGAAACTTGCAGCTGAAAATTGTTTACAATATAATTTACCTGTAAGATTACATGTTTGCAAGTATGTATGTCACTATACCTAAATCCGCAAATAACAAGCACTGTAACTACGGGAACGCGTTATTATAACATTGTTAACCACTAACTGGGTCACTTCAGATGCTATGCGTTTGCGCATTCATTCAGGATCAATATACAAAGAAGTTGAAATATCATTACTGGAAATACTAATAGGAAAGGTACGAAAGACAAGGCACCACACAACTACGAGAAAAATAATAGGAAGTACATGTAATATAATTATGAGTATTTATAGCATAAAATCAAACAAAAGATCTAACGTTCATAATTTATGTTCGGAAGTTAGACCTTCAAGCGACACTGTAGATTTGTCTTTCTTTAGTTTACCTTTTACAATAATTTTGGCAAGTAAATAAGTTCATCGTACTGCAACCGCCGTGCATGATCTTCGATTTCCGACATTTAAGAGTTTTCTTTGTTAACAAACAACTTTTCCTGAGAGTACTTGGCGTATTGCCCAATTGACGGGGAGACAGTTTGCAGCAGTAGTACTTAGGTATACACTCATATTTATAAATATTCACGGAATGTTGGGGAAACTGCTGAAATCTTAACACCACAGTTGCTCGACTAGATTGAATTTAATTTAGAAAGTAAGTACCTAGTGCTGAGGCACTAGAGATAAGTCTCTAGCACTTATTTTGTGAACTAGCAGAAGAGTGCGGCCCAAGGATCTCCTGACTAATGCTCAGTATAAATGAAAGTCCAGAAAGAAATAATAAATAGAATACTCCTTACCCTTCTTCTCGATACACCGTTATCATAGCTCCAGTGGTTGTCCTGTATTTTATTTCTCCTTTTATAGGCTGCGGACCTTGGATTCGACTTTTAGCGACATCAAATGGTATGTTGACACATGACCCTAGGCATCCTGCTACGAAACCGATGCATAGCTTTCTTAAGAAGTCTAGGATTGGTACCTGTAATAAATTAATTCTTGATTTAGAAGCCAAACGAAACTATTCGAAAAAAAATTATCTGCATCTACCAACTTTTAGCATCATCTAATAATCTAGCAAAAATTGAAAATTCATAAAAATCTATCTTGTATCATTTTAACTCGTCGAGTACCGTCATTATAGACACAATTATAGAACAATAGGTTGCGGTCACCGGTGACCGCTTGGTATTTGACAGTTTAAACCCTACGATACAAATTACTTAGTATAGAGGCTGGAGGTTCGATTAAAGATAAATAGTCTAATAAGATTTTATTTTTACTGACCTTGTTCTCAGGTACCATATCTTTTACACTATGATAGAATCCGAAATACACCATATTGAAAACACCGTTCCTGGCAAGTGTTGCAGTCAGACCCTTGCTTAACCCTCTGGAGCCAAACCCATGTTCTCTTACAATTTGTCTAGTAACAGACCATGTGCTTGGAACCTCTTTGCCTCTGGCCTTGTTAGCCATTAATGTTACTTTCACTACTTCAAATGGGTTTACAAATATACCTTCTGTTATACCTGCTCCGAGTCCAGCTAGTGAAAATACCTGGAAAATAAATATAGGACAATATTTACAGGTAATAAAAATATGTACGAAGACTGAACAGGCTGAAATTTGAGTCAAAATAAGAATTTTGATTGTAATTAGATTTAGTATTATTTGGCACTGTAAGGATTTTTATTAGTTACAGTATCTACATATACAGTTTTATTTATTAGTTGTGTGTATATATTTAGGTACATAATAATTAATTATTTTATAATTAGTTATTTATGAGGAACAAATAACAGCACATAAAAAATAATAAAAAAAAATGTTTCAATAGTCATGCCATACATAATTCCATCTGATTTATCTCTTGAGGAATATTTTGCTACCTTAAAGCAATAGATAATATTTAAACTGTTTGAATATTTGATAGCTCTTATCAGACAGTTGACATTGTTTCTATTTGTTGTGTTCATTTCTTGATAATGTGAACAACTATCTGTGGTTTTTTTTTTAAAGTTCTTATTCTTATTTGTTAAAGCCATAAACTTATTGAAGAAAACTTAGATTGACTATAATAGCAAAACTATGTAATTATTGTTCTGGCTTGTTATTATCAAAAATATATATAAAAATACAAAAAAAAAATTTCAAAGACCTAACTTATAAAAGTGGCAAGTATTTCATACAGGTTTTTACACAGCACTTGTTTCTTTTGAAGAAAAATTAAAGAAAGACTTGAAAACAATTAAATGAACCTTATAAGAAAGAAAGAGTTAGCAACAAAAAAAAATTAAAATATTCTCACTAAAGGTGTTGCTGTACTGGTACCAAGAATTGTCATACCAAGTTTTTTGTATTGTTCAAAGCAAACAAACTTCACTGCTCGTTTAGGTGTCTCGGCCAAAATAGGAGGCAATATACCCTTGTAGAATGATGATAATCCTTCATGCCTGTACATTTTTTGTACACAGTCCAATATTCCAGTGTAATAGTGCGGATCTGTTCTTGGCAGGTTCTTATTTGTGGCTTGCAACTGCAGCCTAGTTTTTATAAGGTCCAGAGGCTGCATAATCAGGACTTCAACAAACCCTGCACTTCCACCAGCACCTATCTGCATTGCAGCTTGCTTCAACAACGCATTCATATCACTCATTTTTACACTTTAGAGGAGTTCACTGATTCAAAATTATAATAAATATTTATTTTATGTAGTTTATATCCAATAAATTGCACTTGTGTTATGTATGAATCCAGCTCTGAATTCCGTTTCTTGTCACAAAAACAATACCTAAATGAATAACAAACGTATATAACAAAAAAATATATATATTAAAAGCCTAAAAATGCACAAGTCTCTTCAAAATATCACAGCAAATGAGCCAAAATGAGTCTCACTCATTCTCATTGGAAATTGGAATCGTATTAGACAACTTTACCGAAAGGGCGCAAATACAAAACAGAAAGAATTCGTCGTTATCGCCTTACAACAAAGTCGCTTATTTAATGAAACCAATGTATTAAGAGAATTCTTGTAGACCAAGGTAATAACAAAGTTATGCAGTTCACATAAAGTCGTTTTTTAATTTTTTTACCTCTTTGTCCTCAATAAGATTTTGACATTGACATAGTGTCACTTCATTACATAGGAGTCGGCGGGAAATTATGAAAGACGTCAAGAAATACAAAACTTTTAAAACTTGTTATTCACTGAATCACTGTTAGCAATTAATTTCAATTATAATTCTACATTTACTGTCAAGTCAATTTTGTCAAAAACGTGTTTAATTTTGTTTTTAATTCGTAGGTATTTATTTCGATTAACAATTCGATATTTTTTCTACAGTCTACACATTATTCCTAAATGCCAAGTGACGGGTTTGACAGTTCAGTCTAGTTGTAATACCCTATAAAAAAAATTATGACATTAGACGGTTATTGCAGATAACGGTAAATGGTTCATCACTAACTGCGAATAAAGAGAATGGCAGCCCAGACGTTAGCTGTCAATGAGTCTCCAGTTGAAAGTGTTGTTTCGCAGATTTCATCCAATGTATCCTAGCTCAAATAAATTAATTTGTTTGTCCATATTTTGATTAGACTAGTCGTTTTGCTATTTACAAATGTTTATAAGAGTAAGAACTCACTGCTGATGTAGGTGGACGCGTGTATTCAGCAAACAATCAATGTCTATAAAGTCCATTTTCGCGTGGAATCTCTCTTTCAAAATGGCAGTGGTATTAACAATTTGCAGATGTGAAAAATGATTTCGTGTGTTATAAACAGTGTCGGTGTGGGTGGATAGTGAATTAAACACGGAAATGTGGACATAAAGTGTAAGATGGGTTCGCAGACACTAGAGATATTACGCCAAGGTGTTTGGGCATCGTTAACTGGGGGATGGTTTTATGATCCTCATCAGAATTTGTTTTGCAACACTGTGCATTTATATGTGTGGTTGTTCCTGCTATGTTTGCCGTTTTCTATCTACCTGGTGAGTTGGATTATAGTGCTACATTCAAAGTTTTTGTGTTAGTTGGTATGGAAGTGGTTGAAATGTAAAGCAGGTCACTGGTGATTGGTTGAAATGATTGTTATTCAGCAGTGTGACTTGAGTCATTATGGTCATTGCCCTTACGAAGCCTTAGCAATAAAACTGTTAAGACTAATCTGTCAACAGTTAGCACCTTCAAGGCAATTTATTTCTTACAAGACAAGAAGTAGGACAATGCTACAAGAACTAGTTTACATTGTTTATCCATTATAATTACGTTTTAATTAACATATATCAAATTAAATGTAATTGAGTACTTTATAGGTTATTTTTTGTTCAAATATCAAGATTGTGCTATAGTGTTCAATTTAGTCTTGCTACCTCCTTTTATTAACCTTTTTTATATTTGAATACCTGAACTGTAAAGCAGTGCCTAAAAGCAGGTCATTAACATAATTGTAAAACCTTTTAAAGGTCTAAACACCAGTTACAATCTATACAGTTAAACTGTCAAACACCAAGCGGTCACCAGTGACCGCAACCTATTGTTCTATAATTGTGTCTATAATGACGGTACTCGACGAGGTAAATAAAATTGGAGTGTCTGTTTATAATATTAAAATACCCGCTTTCACTACAAGTAGTAGAAATACACACTTAGCAAAATAATAGTTTTTACAATTTTTGTCTATCGGCCTGTCTGTTTGTACTGGCTAATCTATGGAATGGCAGAACCGATTTTGTAATACTTTGTAATAATTGGCTGGTAGCTGGTGTACTAAAGAGTAACATATAATAAAGCCTGAATTTTTACATTACGAGTTGTTACAAAAAGGTTACAGTATATCTCTTAATTCAGTGTGCCTTTTGGCAAAGGCCTCCTCTAGCTGTCTCCATTGAATTCTGTCGCGGGCCAAAGAGTAACATAGGCCACTTTTATTGTGGAAAAAAGTTGTTCTAAAATTTATATTCTATATGGAAGAATTAAAGAGCAACAGCTAGTAGTCAATAAAAACTCGAAACTAATTCATACAACATGAATTACCTAGGTATAATATTTAAACCATATCTTACCTTTATTATTATTGTCTTATGAGACCCTACAGTCTCATAAGACAATTTTTATTATTTCAATTTATTATTACTATTGGTATAATATTGTTTACTCATGAAATCAGATTTATAAACAAGTTATTTTATTTGCTGAACAATTAACTGTTTACTTGATAGCCAGGGTGTTCATTATTTTAAATTATATTCATTTCTTTGTTCTACTTAATGGGACATGCTATAATTAAGTATATCTTAGGTCAATAATACAGTAATGTATTATCATTCTTAACCAACTTCGACTAAAAGAAAGAAAGAACCGAAAAGAAGTAGGATCTCAAACACTAGCTTCTGGCAGCGGCTTTACCTGCATTCCTATGGGATAAAATGTAGCCTGTGTCATTCCAGACCATTATCTACCCCTGTTCCAAATTTCATCGTAATCCTTTCCACTGTTTTGATGTGAAAGAGTAACAAACAAACACACACACACACACACACACACACACACACACACACACACACACACACACACACACACATACATACATCCTCACAAACTTTTGCATCTATATTACTAAACATTATTATTCCCTTGAGATATAAAATCCTATAGGAATCTCCACAAAAAGTTCTGGTAATAAATCTGATCAAAGAGGTGTAATCTCTGATAGACACAAAAATAGTTTTCACAGGTTCTGTTATTAAGAGGCTTATTTTTAGCCGGACTCGATTATAGGATTAGTCATAGCTAATAATAAATCAAGGTAGACCCAGAATATTTCATTCAGAATGGGAATTAAGATTTTTCAACACTGTACAGAACCTGTTAATGTTTAGAGAGGTAGAAGAATATTATAATACTAAACTATGAATTATTGAGGTTGTCTTTATTGACAATACTAGCTTCTGCCAGTGGCTTTACCCATAGCGGTGGCAGCTCTGGTAAATAGTAGCGTTTTTTACAATCTGTAATAGGTATATATTCCTATGCCAAATTCCATCCAGATCCGTTTAAGAAATGAAGATCTTCAGTTTTCTCTGTATTTGAATATGCTAATCTTAGAAATTACTGGTCCGATTTTAATAATCCCTTTTGTGTTTGATAGTCCATTTATCGAGGCAGGCCTATAGCCTATAGGGTATATAAAAACTCATTATGACCAATAGGAACAAAGCCGAGCGATTGAAACCATGCAGAAGCGTCTAGTTTCTTTAGTATAAGAATAATAAACACATTTGCTCACAAACTTTTACATTCATAATAATAGGATAGTAGGTCCCATAATCTTCCCAATCCCCGATTCCCCAACAATCCTCAAACTCCTAATCCCCAAAAGGCCAGTAACACACTTGTAGCGCCTCTGGTGTTCCAGGTGTCCCTGGGCAACGCCGATTGCTTATCATCAGGTGATCCACCAGCTTGTTTGCCAGCTTATTCCCTAAAAAAACAGGAGGATCTAAACCTGAGTTACACCATGACAACTATGTATGTTAATACTATATGAGAGAGAATAATGAGAGTAGTGTAAGAATGAAATGATTCACTAATACAATGCTCACAATACTATGTTACAATTTATTGTCTTGAATGTTGGGATTTTACATTGTTTTAAACACTCATTAACTTATTTTAGTACCATACAATAAGTGAGTAATATGCATGCAATTATATAGGTTTCTGTGTAATTTAATACTTAAAACAATATTTGAGATTTTTCCTTCTTGTGTAGTGACTATAAATAAGTTTGTATGCAATGTGCCAATAAGCACTTCTACAGTTTTATAACTACTTTAACCAAAACCTAGATTGACCCTATTACTAAAAATCAGAATTTCATACTATATACATATTAATACTGAACATTTTTTAAAACCCAAAATACCCATTAAATCTGCTCTACTATATATTCAGGTATTGAGTGGTTTCAATTAATTTGAATAAGATTTCTTTCAACACTTTTATTATAATAGAAAAACAACAGCTAATACAAATCAAAATGGAGGAATGAAAAGGAATGACAAAGAGAACCAAAACGCCACCTGTGGCAATATCTAGAAACTTAGCTTTATAAAGACACCTCTTTTCAATACTATATACATCAATACATACATAATATGTAGTCAGTTAGCCACTTGAAAGTATTCTAAAGTCATCAATTTCGTCTCATTGAGCGATGACAGTCTCAATATGCAACAATCACGCAGTTATCAATTGGCTGATGCTGGTCTGTATTGTAATGCACGGCTTTATACTTGGGACAAAATCTTGTACATTATAGTACGGAATATTGCTGTAATAATAATATTTAAAGAATAAGAAACTGAGTTTTGATTTCTATGAGGCCTAGTCTAGAAGCTGTATTTGAAAATTCTCATGTTCTGCTTACTTTAAACTGTCAAACACCAAGCGGTCACCGGTGACCGCAACCTATTGTTCTATAATAGTGTCTACAAAACCGGTACTCGACGAGTTAATGAGATTAATAACTGTTATTTGTATACTAGTATAGCCTAATAATTGTATGAAGATAAACTGTGGTATTATTATTTGATTTTGAAAGTTCTATCCGCGTCACGGCCACACGCAGGACAGGAATACTGAGGTGGTTTTAGCCAATTAGAGCCCGCTACACCCAACCCATTGTGTTTACGCCGTTCACGAAAGAATTCCATTAATAATTTCGTTATCCTAGAAAAATATTGGCCTAGGAAAGCTATAAGAAGAGATGAATGCTCTTCAGTGGGATGATCATGGCTAAAAATAAAATAAGTAAAAAATATTGATTGACTGGTTAACTAAAAACATTGTTTTCTAAGTAGACTCCCTAATGTGTGCTGAAAATTTACATTGATCTATTATTAACTATTGTATACATATGTTTGGTGCTTAGGTGTGGCGTTCAGAGTTATTATTCTCCATTAACCTAATGAACATAGAGCAAGTTAATTGATGTGTTTGTTTACAAATACTATGTCTTATGCTAATGGTATTAGATGCTAATTTCAAGTGCAGAGCACTCAGGTTTTATTTTTACATGCGAAAATGTTAAGTAGTGCACAAAATGCGATAGACAAGATGCGACATAAAAGATTATTGTTATCTTTAACATTTTTGAATCTAGTATTCGCCAGGACAGTACCTATGCGTCAGCGTAATTATAGAAGCCAATTAGGTACATGATAATTCGTAGATAGCACATTATCTTCATGAAGAACTTAGCTTAAAAAATTGTATTTCGAGGTACAAAATTCACGACAAAAATATTGCTTCTGCTCCGCGTCATAGTTATAGTATTTACTAATAATGTTGTAGCAAAAAATCGTGAGATTTTTGAAAAAAGTCAAATATTTAATTTAAACTTATTAGAGCAACAAAACTGACGCCTTTAAAGACAAGCAATAATGCAATTAATGACATTAAATTATTATAATAACATTGACGTAATATCATAAATATGACGATGTTAACGTAACATGATCATCTTAATATTCTGAATCATCCTAGTTACACGATATCAATTTAGTTTCATCGGTATCCGTTCGCCTTCAAACTAATAAGGCTTGCGAACAGATCATTAGCAAATCGATGAATATTTCATTTCGTTCAAAGAATTGAAATTGAGAACAAAAAACATGTTTCTTGTTGGTTTTTTTTTAACTAAAAGTGTATTGCTGGCTGATATTACCGATAAACCTATAAGATCTAAGTTCAAATTACTAACATACTTCCAAATTTAAATTTAGTTTATATCATTCCCTATTCTCGTCCATCAGTAATGTAGTATTCTAGTCTCAAAACAAATTGATTGCTAACGCCGTGTTATAGTTTACACCTACGCATTCACAGGCAGAAGTTAGCACCTCTTAAAACCACGGGAAATATTTATTGTTAAACTATTTATAAAACTAGGTACATGGGCAAAAAGTATTATACTTATACATTCATTATATTTACAAACTAGCTAGGTTGAGGAAGCAATAGTTAATTCCTACCAATATCCATGTGTATGGCATGTCACTAACAATGACATGAGTACAGTATAAAACTATAATTACAAACTTAGTATTTTAAAATTGGCATCCAGACGTAACACACGTCGCAGAGAACCTAACGGGTAACCGGGGCTCCGGCTCGACGTGCAGGAGAAGGAACGGGGTGGTTTTTAGTCAGTAAGAGTATGACACTCCCTCCCGCCTCACCCAGGCGGGAGAAGTCATTCGATGATTTTCCCCCTTTAAAAAAAAAGACTTAACACACAAATGGTTCTGATTTTTTGTCTTAACCAAATGAAATCCCTAAGGATTTATTACCTGGAAGTCAAAATAAATTGAAAAAAAAAAAACTATAATATATGTTTCTGATGTTATCTGTCCTATAGTACTTCCCGCCTGCGAGTCTCGGTTGGATCATATACTGCGCGTTAGTTGCGGTGCTATTCGCCGGCCTGAAGCTGTTGAACCACGGCCTGCACCACATGTACGACACCACCGAGTGCATCATCGTGCAGCCGCCCAGCGACCCCAACGCCACTGAGAACACTGCGTAAGTAAACACACTCCGTTTCAATGTATTGTAGTTACACTAGTACATTAAAGTGATTGTAAGTCGATAACACTGTCAGTTATAGCACAAAGTTCGGTTACCTATCGTCCCATTACAATGGACGGTGCACACTTACTTATTTTTGTATTTTCCCATCAGTCCTGACGAAGGCATGGAGATGCAAATGCTGAAGTTGGGCGGAGCGCCGGCGACGGGGAGTGACAACGAGTCAGTCACTTCGCTCGAGTACCACAAGCCTAATAACAGCACTATAGGTATAAAACATTCGTACATGTATTATTAAACTATACACAACACAATAGGATCTATTGAAAATTGTTCTCTTTCTCCGTTTACAGATTTAAAAGTAGATGTCCACCGAAAGAACAGTTCGGAGTCTAGTATGGAAGACAGCGCCATGTCTGCCAAGCAGGCGGAGGCTGTGGCCGCTACCAAGTCGGACCTGTGCGTGGCGCAGGCCGCCGACATGCCCGGCCCTTCCAAAACCCGTCCAGCTGCCAGGAGCCGATCTAAATCCGGCCACAGAAGGGAACGGACCTCCAAAAGGAGGACGCACGGTACCCGCATCGACGAACTAATAGGTGAAGCCTCTAGAAGTAACAGGGTCGAGAACAATTTGCCCGTTCATATGCTAGTCGACGAAGGCCCCTTCGCCAAAGTAAGTAGGCGGTACCACGAGTGCCCACATCGTCGCGGATCAAGTAACAAGGACTTTTTCAAAGAGTGGTTATACCTCGATGGTAGTGAGGCTACCGGGGAACCTTACCAGTCCAAGTTCGCTCGACAACTCAGCTCCGACTCGAGAGATAACTCCGAGCCTAGCGTCGGTCCGCCGTCTCCTAAAAAGAGGACAGCGCACCGTCGGAGGTACGCTAACTACCCAGATGAAAGTTGTACCAAGTCCGCAATGGCGCTGGCAACACAGCAGTCCTCCAACATGCGCAGAAACTCCAACTCCACAATGTCCACTATTCAGCTCCCACTTTTGAATTCAACCGCACAACTTGTATCGCATATGAGGAGGCACTCCAACAATGCTGATACTGGATTCTTCGCCAGTGTAGAGCTTGGTGAATACATGATGGTGAAGGCCGAAGCCCCAGCGGGCGAAACAGAAAAGAGTAAAGGAAAGAGTTCAGGATTTAGGAGAATTAAAAGCGCCGCGTTAGAAATTGGGTGTCCACCTCCGAGTGTTTCGAACCTATCCCCCCATCCTAATAGCGCAGAAACTATCGGTGGTCAGATGCTAAAGAACCCTAAAAGCGCAGTTATTCCACCCCCTAGTAAAAGCTTAACTCGAGGTCCACATTTAAATCTGTACCCAAAGAATGAATCAGGAGAAGGATGTAGCTATCCATATCTAACTTACGGTTCTGAAATTGTATACCCAATCGCTGAAATATCTGATGAGATGCAAACATCTCAGAAAGAAACTGACCTAGACTCGAGTGGAGAGAGCTACAGTGATTACGATGATGAGAAGCAGTTCCGAGGCTTCGACTGGGACGCCGAGCAGTCACCAGCGATGCGCTCCAGTGACTCTGACTACGAAAACAACGGATCCAGGTCGCCATTGCTTGACAGGCCCTCAGACGTGCGAGTGGTGCGGAGTAAAACTCACGGGGACAGCAAGAAGCACTGCTGCGAGCGACACACAAACAAACATAACTTGGACTGTCCCAACGACAAAAGTAAACCAGTAAGACTGAAAAAGCTTCCCAAACACGAGCCACAATATGAAGCTAAGCGTTCCGATAGAGCAGCACCTCCTTGCTGCGAATGTAAAACCAACATCAATCCTAACGTTGACTATTTTGAAAAGGCCAGCGCTAGTTCCAAAGACTTATTAATAGAAAAATCTAGTTTAGAGTCTAATGAGGCCCAAGAGCAGCCCGAGAAACAATCAGAAGACAAAAAAGTCGTCGAAAAGAAACCGTGGGACCACAATATCTGTAATTCTAGCAGTAGCAGCGATACTTACGTCGAGGGAGTTGCGAAAATGTTCAAACCAGAAAAGAACATTGCTCCCGAAACTGAGGAGTCGCAAGTAACTTGTGACAGCAGCCGCAGTGCCGACGAGCGCAGCGTGTACAGCCTGGACTGGCTCTTCGAGGAGGCCGACCTCGCCGGCTGCAAGGACGCAGGCGCCTGCGCGCTCTCTGAAGATGTATTGAACCAGAAACTAGCCAACGCCCTCGGCGAATCGTCTTCCAATGTTCCAAAAAACTTGGGAGCTATACCAAAGCAGATAAAAAACTTAGCGCGTTCGCGAGCTTCCTCGCAGAAGGAGAACAAGAAGAGAGATTCTAAAAAAGAAAAAGATGAGAATCAAAATGAAGAAGTATCCTTCGACGCGGTGGAAGCTCAGGCTGCTTTGGTACAAGGGTTGGAATGCTTGTTTGCGGCGACCAACGCCAACACCGTGGTGATGCCGCCCACCAACCGGGACGAGCGCCAGCGCAGCCACAGGCAGAGCATTCGGGGCGAGAGAGAGAATTCGCACAAAACTAGGAAACGTTCCATTGAAGAAGTAGCACAAACCTCTACTAACACCCTTCTTCCCACCTCCATGCCTTTACTGGCAGCGTTCCTCAACTCCAGGGTGGACTTCGGACCTTGTTGCGCACCAGCGCATGCCGCGGCCAGCGCCGAGCTAGCTCCGCCACAGAACGCGCAGGCGCAGGAGGAGCCACCGCGGTTCAGGCCATTGATGGATAGAAACCATAGGAACCGCATTAGAAAAATTAAACGTTCAACCCGACAGCGAAATAATCCTTCTCATCAGAACAATGCAAACAAAAGAAACAAGCAGCCAGCTCCGGACACCTCCAATAACTCTAATAATGTTCACTTTGCGACGTCATTCGACGACACGACGGACGGTGCAATACACTGCTTCATGGACGAGTATGGCAACTGGATGTCGTACACCTTTGATAAGAACAGTTCAGGTCGTGCACAGGCACAACCAATTCCTTTACCGGAGAAGGAAGATGGAATGCGCATTAACAGGGTCAAACCTATCGATAACCCCGACAACTCGCAAGAAACTGCCGGCGAAGGCAGCTGTGGCTCTCTAGAATCTGAAGCTGGCAACAGTGAAAGTATCCCAAAAACTAAACGCGGAGACAGCATCGACCAAAGTTCCTCCAACCAGGGCAGTAACAACCCGCTCCTGTCGAGCAATAACAACGTGTCGGCCGTTGTACCCATTAACACGAATAATGCCAACAAGCGGTTCTACGTGTTTGACGGAGGGACCGGCGCACACGCGGACCAACCGCGCTCCCCCGTGGCGTACGTCACTGACAGCTTACTAGAACAAATAGAGGCTGAGAGACAATCGCGCATGGGTCTACCGAGCATGCATATAAACTTCCTCATGAACCAGCAGAGGGCGCAACAGATGGCTCAGCAACAAGCTGAGAACACATACGCCAATATACCGAGCCTGATGCCCTCGATAGGCGAGGAGAGCGTAGAAATAAACCTTAGAAGTAAATTCTCTAAATTAATGGACGAAATGGAGAAGGCGAATCAGCCTAAACCAAAGAGTTATTACAAGTTCAAACTTTCAAAATGTTTCGAACTAAAAGTTACCATGGACAGATTGCAACTGATGGCATTGTTTGATCGAAACTTGACGTTCAAGGAAACCTTTGTCACAATATTTCTGGCTGTGATGGTGGCGGTGCTGGGTTCCATGGTGTTGAACCTCGGCTTCTACAGGGATATATACGCGTTTTGGTTTTGTTTCATCATGGCGGGCAGTCAGTACTCGCTACTAAAAAGTGTCCAGCCGGACTCCGCGTCACCAGTGCATGGCTTCAACAAGATGGTGGTGTTCTCTCGTCCGGTCTACTTCTGTATCTGCACGGCACTATTGTGCGGGGTGCACAGTTACTTAGAACAAACTGCGCCCTTTACGGACGAGGACCACACGAGACGAAAACGAAGTGTAGACGTCACAAAACCTATCACGATATACGGATTTGAGATGAATGAAAGAGATTTTTTACTCATCATTCAAGATGTACTATCAAAGTTCCTCTTATTTTTTCCTTTGGCATTCAGCTTGGGGTTATTCCCTCAAGTGAACACATTCCTCATGTACTTCTTGGAGCAGATAGACATGCACGTCTTCGGTGGCAACGCGACGAGCAGTCTGAGCGCGGCCGTGTACTGCGTGGTGCGGTCCGTGGCCGCCATCGGGGTGCTGTACGGGTTCGCGTACAGCGGGCTCGTCGAGGGGAAGAAATCTCAGCACCAGAAGCACAACATACTGTTTTCAATATTCTGCGGCCTCTTGGTGCCCATAGCGTACCACCTGAGTCGCAGTGCGAGCGACTACACGCTCATCTGGAACTTGATAAAGAAACATTTGTTGCCGCCGGAGTTGTACGTGATACACACTCCGGAATGTTCCCCGGAGACTGACAAATCGGACCCCAACACGCTGACTGAAGACAAAAAGAACAATTCAGAGAGTAATATATCGAAACAGAATTCTATAGGAAGTTCAGCGTCTAAGATCAACTTTAGTTCGGAGACGAATATTGCTAAGCAGAAGAGGTCGCAGACGTCGAGCGTTAGTTCGTTGAAGATGGACCCTCGGGGAGGGGACACGATGAACTCCACGAACTCCCTGAAGGGTGAGGTGCCTACAGAAGATGACAAGACCCAGGATACAAGTACTACGAACGTGAAGGCAGACTCTGAGAAGCCGGACGAGGACATGGAGGACCCGCTGCCGAAGAAGTTGCAGGCGACGGTGAACGCGCGGCTCAAGAACGACGTCATCGTGTGCACGTTCCTCGGACTCTTCGTGTTCGGCCTGCACTGCACCACTGTCTTCACCACGCTACGCCCACAACTCAATACGGTGAGTTCTGTTCGTATGTTTGTGTATGCATGGAAATAATCCCAATGTTCCGTATACTAAATCTTACTTTTCTATAAACTAGGCAAAAATCTGTACCAAGTTTTTTTTATAAATCGGCTCGTTCTAAACGACCCGTTTCAAAGCGTAATAGAGCAGGGCCGTCCAAAGAAAGGCCCGCGGGCCGCATGCGGCCATGCGGCGGTACATAGATATTTTGCTGACATTAAGATCGGTACGATCGCGCGATATTGCTTAGGTATATACAATATGATATTATTTATTACATTGTCCTTGGATATGATGATATGAACAGTAAAACTATAACTACAACTATTACTTGAGTAGTTAAACTATAATTATTAGTTGGTCTGAAAAGAAAGAATTTTATTTTATTATCTACTTACAAAATCTAGTGTAAAGGTTTTACAAAACATTCTTTAACATTAACGTTAATTAATTAAATGCACTAATTTTACCTGAAAAGAAAAACAACATTTAGAGCCGTTGTTTCACAAGTTCTTATCAATCACTATTACTATTCTAATTACATTAAAATTCCTAATTATACATAACCTTCACAGATTAGCTATTTCACAGATAAAAAATAACACAAAGTTATTACGCGGCAAATTCAAACTATACAAACTAAATGAAGTGTCACGCAATTTGTTTACATATATAATCACATGTCAAGTAATTATCGACGAGAATGTGTTTTTACTAATAACGAAGTAAACAACTACCTAATGAGAAAGGAATTGCCAACAGTGCTATACTGTACTAAACTCGGGTGCAATACACTTTATAGTCACATTATCCGAGTGATCTTTTCTCTGCACACTCAACTACAAGTGTATGAATTGTACAAAAACTATTGCAAAATAAGCTTTATTGTCTTGAATATAGGTACTGCCTCGTTGGCCGAATGATCGCAAGAGCGACTGCCGGGAAGGGGTCTTTCGTTTGATTCCCGGGTCGGGCAAAGTGTTAATGGGTTTTAAAAGAAATCTCAGTACCTAGTATCACAGAATCTGGAAATGTGCCCGGTATATGGCAATAGGCTCACCCCCTATTACATTGAACTCATAGTGAAAAGTGGATGTTACATTGTACAGTGGCATTAAGTGCACCTCTGCTTAGCCATTCGGGGATAAAAAGGCGTGATTTATGTTATGTATGTAATAATGAGCCCCGCGTCCTGCAGGCGCTATGGATAATAGCGGGCGTTCTGGGCTGGGCGCTGCACTACGCGGTCCCGCAGCTGCGCAAGCAACAGCCGTGGCTGTGTCTGGCCGGGCCCGTGCTGCGCCAGCACGAGCACGCGCAGTTCGAGGTCACCGAGCCCGCCAGGCTCATGTGCTTCGAGAAGGTACGATACGCACTCTTTGTAACTGATTTACAGCCATATTTTTATTGTTTGACAATGACCTTTTTTGTGGGATAAGTCAGCAAATGAGCTCATGGTAAGTAATTGCTGACGCACCCATAGCACAGAGGAATTACGGGTACGCAAAACTAATCCTTTACTTGTACTTTTGGGTGGCACTTATAAGTGGCTGAAAACCAAAATTACGTCGAATGTGAAAAATGAAAAATTATATTTGCTTAAGGATTTCTTACAATTTAGGGGACGTCGGTCAAAATGGGCATTTGTGTAATAGTCATGTGTTTATTCCCGCGCAGATGTTCGTGTACCTGAGCTTCCTAGAGCGCAACGTGCTGTACCCGGGCGTGGTGCTGGCGGCCACGTCGCAGGACGCGCCCGCGCTGGCCGCCAAGTACGGGGACGGCCTCGCCGCACTCATCGTGTGCGTCTGCGCACTCAAGTGTAAGTCGCTAGGGACCACTACCTATCTACAGGACGCGCCCGCGCTGGCCGCCAAGTACGGGGACGGCCTCGCCGCACTCATCGTGTGCGTCTGCGCACTCAAGTGTAAGTCGCTAGGGACCACTACCTATCTACAGGACGCGCCCGCGCTGGCCGCCAAGTACGGGGACGGCCTCGCCGCACTCATCGTGTGCGTCTGCGCACTCAAGTGTAAGTCGCTAGGGACCACTACCTATCTACAGGACGCGCCCGCGCTGGCCGCCAAGTACGGGGACGGCCTCGCCGCACTCATCGTGTGCGTCTGCGCACTCAAGTGTAAGTCGCTAGGGACCACTACCTATCTACAGGACGCGCCCGCGCTGGCCGCCAAGTACGGGGACGGCCTCGCCGCACTCATCGTGTGCGTCTGCGCACTCAAGTGTAAGTCGCTAGGGACCACTACCTATCTACAGGACGCGCCCGCGCTGGCCGCCAAGTACGGGGACGGCCTCGCCGCACTCATCGTGTGCGTCTGCGCACTCAAGTGTAAGTCGCTAGGGACCACTACCTATCTACAGGACGCGCCCGCGCTGGCCGCCAAGTACGGGGACGGCCTCGCCGCACTCATCGTGTGCGTCTGCGCACTCAAGTGTAAGTCGCTAGGGACCACTACCTATCTACAGGACGCGCCCGCGCTGGCCGCCAAGTACGGGGACGGCCTCGCCGCACTCATCGTGTGCGTCTGCGCACTCAAGTGTAAGTCGCTAGGGACCACTACCTATCTACAGGACGCGCCCGCGCTGGCCGCCAAGTACGGGGACGGCCTCGCCGCACTCATCGTGTGCGTCTGCGCACTCAAGTGTAAGTCGCTAGGGACCACTACCTATCTACAGGACGCGCCCGCGCTGGCCGCCAAGTACGGGGACGGCCTCGCCGCACTCATCGTGTGCGTCTGCGCACTCAAGTGTAAGTCGCTAGGGACCACTACCTATCTACAGGACGCGCCCGCGCTGGCCGCCAAGTACGGGGACGGCCTCGCCGCACTCATCGTGTGCGTCTGCGCACTCAAGTGTAAGTCGCTAGGGACCACTACCTATCTACAGGACGCGCCCGCGCAACTATAGTCAGAATTTTAATTAGATTCCAGATTTGACAATAGCTACTGTCATTTTGTGAAATAATGATACCACATATAATAGTGTAGTGATGAACACAAAAATCGATAAACAATCAGTGTGTGTGTTTTATAATAAATGTTACAGAAAGTGACAGGATAGCGATAGCGATGACGGCGACAATTTATAAAATAACTTATTACCATAATACATCTATCTGTTTTATTTCTCATGTTCCTTCATGATTACATTTTTTTAGTTATTTCATACACAATTATAAAAGAAAAGTCTCAGATCGTTAAGTAATCGTCAAAACTAAATTATCGGTCAGAAATATTTAATTTTTTTACGAGACTAAAATTATAAACGAGAAGAATCGATCCAGAAATATTGCATTTCCATATCGAATAATTTCGCAACGTCACTATTTAGTACTTGTCATAACGTTGCAATACTGAAATTGTTAAATCTGGAATCGAATTAAAATTCCGACTATAGTTATTTAATAGGCATTTTAGTACCACGCATCTATCTTCTAATGGTAAACTTTCTTCGACACTGTTTGGTTCTGTAGGCAGTGAAATTCCTCTTATTTTGAGGAAGCTATACCGGAGGAGGATTTTTTATTTTTATTTTTTAGGATGCGCTAACGGTTGAGGAACTCAACATATATAGCGGAACTTCCGCATTATGAGGAAGCGAAACAACTTTACCTTTTACATAATAAGGTTCAAATTCTCTATTTTTCCAACAGGCCTAAGAAACGCTTATTCAGAGCCCGAGTCCCAGTACTTGATCCTGGTGTTCGCAGTGCTCCTCTTCCAAAGAGACCTCAGCAGTCGCAAGATATCAGAGACTTTCCTCGTAGACTACTTCATCACTGCCATCATCTTCAGCAAGGTCTACGAGTTCCTGCTCAAAGTAAGTGCCGAAAAAAAAATACATATTATGTTAATTAGAAATATTGGCAAAAGAATTTAAGTGGATGCAATCTTTATGGGGTCTCAGGGACGTGAAATAAGCTAGGTTTGATAGACAACCATTAAAACTGGTGTTATTATTATAGCCTAAAAAAATTATTTCGCGGTACAAATTCGGCGCGTGCGTCACGGCTGTCGACGCGGACCTCGATGTGTCGTTTCGTTTCTGCGCGACGTCGAGCGATCTGAGGCCTTAGTACCGCATTTAACACTCTGATTGGCCAGCTCCAATGAACCAACCAATAAGACCGCCGAACGCGGTCTCGTTTTGATTACTTTGAGCGTAAAATAAACTGGTACTAAGCCCTCAGTATCGCGGCGGGGTATGGATAAAATGGCGTGACTTTGCGTGTACTAAACATTATTACGTGTCTATATTACAAACGTCTTATTTGTTGTGTGTTGCAGGTGCAGTTCGTGGTGACATACATCGCGCCGTGGCAGATCACGTGGGGGAGCGCGTTCCACGCGTTCGCGCAACCATTCTCCGTGCCCCACTCCGCCATGTTGTTCCTGCAGGCCGCCGTCTCCGCTCTGCTCTCCTCGCCACTCACCCCCGCACTCGGTACTCACTCATCATCATAATCACCTTGAAAAACCGCTCTATTCCCTGATGAAAACGTTTAAAAATCTAATCAGTATTATTGAAAACGAATGGGCCGGTTCGGCCGATGTTTTGGCGGGTTAAGCCGTGTGAGTAAGTGCCTTTTCACAGGTCCTAGTTGCCAGATAGCCGCGTATATAATTTACGCCCGAAGGTGTGAAAGCAACAGTACCCAGTAACCGGAGCATGTGAAAACGGTGCTATGTAGGCCCAAATCTCCCTACTACTTCCCTTCCACCTCAAAGCTGACAACGTACTTGTTCGGATGTCAATAAAAGCCGCAAAATGCTTACCATTCAGATCCGTTTGCTCGTTAACCCATATCCCATAAACATCGCAAATAGATCGCAATGGTGAATAATATAACTTAACTTTGTAATAAGTGATTTACTAACTATAAGATGTTGTTTGTACGTCAGGTAGTGCAATATTCATGACATCGTACGTGCGCCCCGTCAAGTTCTGGGAGCGCGACTACAACACGAAGCGAGTGGACCAGAGCAATACGCGGCTCTCTTCTCAACTCGAGCGGAACTTAGGAGCTGGTGAGTCTACACTCTATGCTGTAGGGAATAAGGTTTATTTTGCTATGTAGACCAGCGCAACAGCAGAACTCTTTGCCTCTATTTTGTATGGAATAAGCCACTAAGATGTAGTTTTATATTATTTCACACCTTGAGATTTAAAAATAATTCTACCTAATTGCAGTTAGTTCGGCGGCTGATAAACATTAATGTTAGATTGGTGTCTCTATTTCATAAGCTATAATGTCCGTTTTACTTTGCAAAGCTCATTACTAGTGTTGATTCCTCACGGAGGATTGGATAGAAAAGGCAATAAAAATTACTTTTAAACAGCTTATACATCTTTTATATAAATGTCCTTTAACTTGTATTGCAGACGATAACAACCTGAATTCAATATTCTACGAGCACCTGACTCGGTCGCTGCAGCACTACCTGTGTGGAGACCTCATGCTCGGCCGGTGGGGACAGGTCCAGCAGGGAGACTGCTTCGGTAGGGATATACTACTTGTTATGCTAATATACTGAATACTCCAGTGGATTTTGAACGGACAATAAACATCGCCAGTTTTGTACAGTTAGTTTTTTTTATAAGTCGGTAAACGAGCAGACAGATCACTTGATGGTATGAAGTGCTTCTGTAGTATTCTGTGGTATTGGCTCTAAATAAGTCGGGCAACCTTCGAAAGCTGTCAAACCGGCTTATTCTTATCGACTCTTTAAACTAGCAAGAAAATGATTTGAATTCAGTTAAAACTATTCTATCGATGAGAATGAGTATTAAAAGTCCTCTATTTTGTTCCAGTATTAGCATCAGACTACCTAAATTGCCTGGTCCACATAGTAGAAATGGGCAATGGACTGGTGTCCTTCCAGCTGAGAGGGCTAGAGTTCAGAGGGACCTACTGCCAACAGAGAGAGGTTGAGGCCATCTCCGAAGGCCCTGAGGAGAGCAGTGGTGAGTTCTCATAAATGGTATATTTTTAGGTTTCTACTTTCGATGGGATATCGTCAATACTGTGTTGTTGTTTATGTTTATTTTACGACCCATTGAAAGTTGTCATACTGAATTTCGAAGTTCAAAATAATGCTATGGCGTCGAGACGTGATGAGGTCACAAATAACTGCATCTTCAAGAAATGGCGTATAATCCCGAGTGTCGGGGTTGTATCTTTATACTGTTAGGTATGATTTTTAAACTGTCAAACACCAAGCGGTCACCGGTGAACGCATCCTATTGTTCTATAATTGTGTCTACAAAACCGGTACTCGACGAGTTAAGTTAGTAGGAAGCCTTTTTACGGAGGTGGGGTTACTTTAAAAGGAGCCTAGGCATCGGAACTTCTGAGTTGACTAGCTCCGGAGTTCCTACTGTGCAATATCTGTTACGGCACATACCTAGGCCCCACTGTGCATGATAACCTGATCACTGTGCCACCATCTTTCCTAAGGTGATTGGATTAGGTTTACGGGTACAGTCATACCCTAAGCGATTATGGCCTCAAAGTTAGGCCCTGTTACTGATTGATACGAGTTAGTTCATGCATTTTGAGTGAATCTGATGACAATATCGATTGGTTACGCTGTCGCTGGGCGCGATGTGGGCGCTGATATATATCAGTGGCGTAATGTACAGAGGGTGTATGCGGCGGGTCGTGGTGGTGCGGGGGGCGCGCGCTGTCGCTGGGCGCGATGTGGGCGCTGATATATATCAGTGGCGTAATGTACAGAGGGTGTATGCGGCGGGTCGTGGTGGTGCGGGGGGCGCGCGCTGTCTCTGGGCGCGATGTGGGCGCTGATATATATCAGTGGCGTAATGTACAGAGGGTGTATGCGGCGGGTCGTGGTGGTGCGGGGGGCGCGCGCTGTCGCTGGGCGCGATGTGGGCGCTGATATATATCAGTGGCGTAATGTACAGAGGGTGTATGCGGCGGGTCGTGGTGGTGCGGGGGGCGCGCGCTGTCGCTGGGCGCGATGTGGGCGCTGATATATATCAGTGGCGTAATGTACAGAGGGTGTATGCGGCGGGTCGTGGTGGTGCGGGGGGCGCGCGCTGTCGCTGGGCGCGATGTGGGCGCTGATATATATCAGTGGCGTAATGTACAGAGGGTGTATGCGGCGGGTCGTGGTGGTGCGGGGGGCGCGCGCTGTCTCTGGGCGCGATGTGGGCGCTGATATATATCAGTGGCGTAATGTACAGAGGGTGTATGCGGCGGGTCGTGGTGGTGCGGGGGGCGCGCGCTGTCTCTGGGCGCGATGTGGGCGCTGATATATATCAGTGGCGTAATGTACAGAGGGTGTATGCGGCGGGTCGTGGTGGTGCGGGGGGCGCGCGCTGTCTCTGGGCGCGATGTGGGCGCTGATATATATCAGTGGCGTAATGTACAGAGGGTGTATGCGGCGGGTCGTGGTGGTGCGGGGGGCGCGCGCTGTCTCTGGGCGCGATGTGGGCGCTGATATATATCAGTGGCGTAATGTACAGAGGGTGTATGCGGCGGGTCGTGGTGGTGCGGGGGGCGCGCGCTGTCTCTGGGCGCGATGTGGGCGCTGATATATATCAGTGGCGTAATGTACAGAGGGTGTATGCGGCGGGTCGTGGTGGTGCGGGGGGCGCGCGCTGTCTCTGGGCGCGATGTGGGCGCTGATATATATCAGTGGCGTAATGTACAGAGGGTGTATGCGGCGGGTCGTGGTGGTGCGGGGGGCGCGCGCTGTCTCTGGGCGCGATGTGGGCGCTGATATATATCAGTGGCGTAATGTACAGAGGGTGTATGCGGCGGGTCGTGGTGGTGCGGGGGGCGCGCGCTGTCTCTGGGCGCGATGTGGGCGCTGATATATATCAGTGGCGTAATGTACAGAGGGTGTATGCGGCGGGTCGTGGTGGTGCGGGGGGCGCGCGCTGTCTCTGGGCGCGATGTGGGCGCTGATATATATCAGTGGCGTAATGTACAGAGGGTGTATGCGGCGGGTCGTGGTGGTGCGGGGGGCGCGCGCTGTCTCTGGGCGCGATGTGGGCGCTGATATATATCAGTGGCGTAATGTACAGAGGGTGTATGCGGCGGGTCGTGGTGGTGCGGGGGGCGCGCGCTGTCTCTGGGCGCGATGTGGGCGCTGATATATATCAGTGGCGTAATGTACAGAGGGTGTATGCGGCGGGTCGTGGTGGTGCGGGGGGCGCGCGCTGTCTCTGGGCGCGATGTGGGCGCTGATATATATCAGTGGCGTAATGTACAGAGGGTGTATGCGGCGGGTCGTGGTGGTGCGGGGGGCGCGCGCTGTCTCTGGGCGCGATGTGGGCGCTGATATATATCAGTGGCGTAATGTACAGAGGGTGTATGCGGCGGGTCGTGGTGGTGACCACGCTGTGCTTCGCGCTCAGTCTGCTCGGCCGCCGGGCGCTCGCCGCCGCCCAGCATCTCTCCGCCTCCAGGTACACTCTGTTACTCATTCAACATTTACGTCAAACTAGTTTACTCTTAACTTTTTTTAGTTCAGTAATTAATAAGACATTCACTCTTTTAGGGTCCAAACTCTTAATACCTTATGAATCAGTCGACCCGAAAGGCTACCCAAAGACTTTTCAGAATTAAAACTTCCTAAAAATGACAACTTCTGTACTTCGTTCAAAAAGGTTGACCTTACATTTTGTCGTCATCGCCATGTCTTATTTGATTTAACATACTAATAAAAAACGTTAATGTTTCCAGCGTGGAGTTCTTCCTATACGGCCTACACTCGCTATTCAAGGGCGACTTCCGCATCACGTGCGCGCGCGACGAGTGGGTGTTCACCGACATGTCCCTGCTGCACTCCGTGCTGGCGCCCGCCATACGGATGGCACTCAAACTGCACCAGGTACTTACTCACACACTATGTTGAGAGGGAGAGGGTGAAATCATCCAATAATTATTCCCGCTTCAAGTGAGGCGAAATGCTTACTGACATTGAACGAGCAGGGTTAACCTCGTTAAATTGTTCGCAGCTCCATGTTTTCATGATGTATCTACTATAGATCCTGGCTTACAGGAGTTGCAGCGGTTTTGGGAGGTTGTGACGGGCTTGTCCCCAAAAAAAAAAAGTTGTCCGCAGCTCCAAGTCGGGCACTAGCCCTACTGGGCCCTATCATTGGTGGTCTCATAGCTCTTTGTACGCTCGAGCTACTCTTGCTCGCCGTCCGCAGACCGGCTTACGGTGGCTACTATACCTGCTTCTGCGATTTAGTTGTGCGATGGGTTTTTGATTTTTCCCAGCTAACGATAATATTTGTTCCCCTAGGACCACTTCATGTTCCCTGAGGAGTATTGCAGCAGTTCAGCTCTGTACTGCGCCATAGCGTCCCACGCCCAGCGCCTCGTCATCTGCCACGAGGCGGCCCCCGCCTGGAGGTACAACGTGCTGCGGGGCGCGCCGCATCTACTCGCACTCAGGTACATCCATACAGGATTATTTGATTAAGTAAAAACGTCACAGCACCATACTGTTGTACGACTTTCCAAAATCAATCATGCATCCAATTTGTCATGAAAAAAAAATTCGTACTTACATAAAAATATTTCGATAAACGCGCTAAATGTTACGAAACCTACGTAATATACCATCAATACAAATAGATATAAACAAAGACCTATGTGAAACAAAAAAACCGCGCTAGTTTATCTAACTTTTAAGTTCTGTATAATTTTTTCTTTTTTAGGAAGATGATGTTTATGATGTTAATAATAAGAACCTGCGAGGTTGCTACTTAATTACAAATAGCTTTGATTATCATTCACTTCTCACTGTTACATTAATATTACAGACACGTGATGGACGAGGGTAACGACGATTACAAGATAATAATGCTGAACAAGCGCCACCTTGGGTTCCGCGTCATCAAACTCAACCGCGAGTGTGTCCGCGGACTGTGGGCTGGTCAGCAACAGGAACTGGTCTACCTCAGGAACAGGAACCCTGAACGAGGGTCTATTCAGAACGCTAAACAGGTACGTAGGTTAACTCTCTACCTGTAACGTTTACAGTACTCGAATCTTTACGAATTAAACACTCCTAAAATTGGCTCTATCCACTTGTGAAATCCGTATAATCGATTTATTCGTTGTTGAGCTCATCACGAGCATACACGATATCTTTCATTAGATTGGGAAGAGACAATGAAACGTTAAAGTACACGATTTTGATCGCTTTATCTACGGTTATGAATTGTTGAATGCGTATGCGTTATCGTGGGATCGCAAACAGAACTTAAACAAAAATAATGTTCTTTGTCACTTCAACTATATTTTTTTGTATGGCAGGCTCTCCGCAACATAATAAACTCGTCGTGCGACCAGCCCATAGGCTACCCAATCTACGTGTCCCCGCTAACGACATCGTACGCCGACACGTCCCCCCAGCTGTGCGAGCTACTGGGCGGCCCGCTCACGGTCTCCGCCATACGACAGCGACTGGCCGCCGCCTGGAGACGGTAACTAGCATCCTATATTACTGGGCGGCCCGCTCACGGTCTCCGCCATACGACAGCGACTGGCCGCCGCCTGGAGACGGTAACTAGCATCCTATATTACTGGGCGGCCCGCTCACGGTCTCCGCCATACGACAGCGACTGGCCGCCGCCTGGAGACGGTAACTAGCATCCTATATTACTGGGCGGCCCGCTCACGGTCTCCGCCATACGACAGCGACTGGCCGCCGCCTGGAGACGGTAACTAGCATCCTATATTACTGGGCGGCCCGCTCACGGTCTCCGCCATACGACAGCGACTGGCCGCCGCCTGGAGACGGTAACTAGCATCCTATATTACTGGGCGGCCCGCTCACGGTCTCCGCCATACGACAGCGACTGGCCGCCGCCTGGAGACGGTAACTAGCATCCTATATTACTGGGCGGCCCGCTCACGGTCTCCGCCATACGACAGCGACTGGCCGCCGCCTGGAGACGGTAACTAGCATCCTATATTACTGGGCGGCCCGCTCACGGTCTCCGCCATACGACAGCGACTGGCCGCCGCCTGGAGACGGTAACTAGCATCCTATATTACTGGGCGGCCCGCTCACGGTCTCCGCCATACGACAGCGACTGGCCGCCGCCTGGAGACGGTAACTAGCATCCTATATTACTGGGCGGCCCGCTCACGGTCTCCGCCATACGACAGCGACTGGCCGCCGCCTGGAGACGGTAACTAGCATCCTATATTACTGGGCGGCCCGCTCACGGTCTCCGCCATACGACAGCGACTGGCCGCCGCCTGGAGACGGTAACTAGCATCCTATATTACTGGGCGGCCCGCTCACGGTCTCCGCCATACGACAGCGACTGGCCGCCGCCTGGAGACGGTAACTAGCATCCTATATTACTGGGCGGCCCGCTCACGGTCTCCGCCATACGACAGCGACTGGCCGCCGCCTGGAGACGGTAACTAGCATCCTATATTACTGGGCGGCCCGCTCACGGTCTCCGCCATACGACAGCGACTGGCCGCCGCCTGGAGACGGTAACTAGCATCCTATATTACTGGGCGGCCCGCTCACGGTCTCCGCCATACGACAGCGACTGGCCGCCGCCTGGAGACGGTAACTAGCATCCTATATTACTGGGCGGCCCGCTCACGGTCTCCGCCATACGACAGCGACTGGCCGCCGCCTGGAGACGGTAACTAGCATCCTATATTACTGGGCGGCCCGCTCACGGTCTCCGCCATACGACAGCGACTGGCCGCCGCCTGGAGACGGTAACTAGCATCCTATATTACTGGGCGGCCCGCTCACGGTCTCCGCCATACGACAGCGACTGGCCGCCGCCTGGAGACGGTAACTAGCATCCTATATTACTGGGCGGCCCGCTCACGGTCTCCGCCATACGACAGCGACTGGCCGCCGCCTGGAGACGGTAACTAGCATCCTATATTACTGGGCGGCCCGCTCACGGTCTCCGCCATACGACAGCGACTGGCCGCCGCCTGGAGACGGTAACTAGCATCCTATATTACTGGGCGGCCCGCTCACGGTCTCCGCCATACGACAGCGACTGGCCGCCCCTTTTAAGGGAAGTGAGAGGTTAGAAACAGACAAATAGTATCTTACATAGACTATTAGAGTGACGTCACTCTCAATCCCTTCAAATGTCTTCATTTTAAAAATCACGTAAACGTTTATTATAAGGGACCACAAACATATCTAGCTGAGATCTGGTAGCAGCGTTCGCTGATAAACTTGATCCTTTTAAATCGTAATCTTCATGATTTGTTAATACTAGGTATAGTTTTAAATACTGCCTCGTCGGCTGACTGGTCGTACGTGCGACTGCCGGGCAAGGGGTCTCGAGTTCGATTCCCGGGTCAG